TTCTCACTGATTCTTAGGTATTTCAGAATTTTATTTGGTTGGCTGATTACGGCTGCATATTATGTATTCCGTACCAGACCGTCTAGTTGCCCAGCGGCATTGTTGAAGTACGTTTGCAATTTTGATATAACTTGTCATTGTTTAACCATGCCACAAAATTATCACGTCAAATCTTGTCTTAGCATTGTCGAAACATCGTCTTTTACTATGCGTGACTCAGGAAAGTTTGGGAAGCCACATAGTAAAACCCAGTAACTTGTCTGGGTTGCGTTATCCCGGCATCGCCGAATTGTTTCCTTCGTTCAGACTGAAATAATTGGATTTTTGTTGTTACGATTACGCATCTGCTTACCTAATGTGATGGGAAAGTCAGAAATACAAGGGTGTTCTGGGGGTGTGGATGAGCCGAATGACATAAGGGGATTTCTTACTAAGTCCTAAATTTCCGACTCTATCACTGTGGAAGTCATCGATAAGAGAGCAATCGGCCTTTAACTATTCCAAATGCTTGGTTTGTCTCGTTTGAGGATTGTTGGTACATAACCTTGCCTATGAAGATTGGGCACTTCCCTGTGGGTTTGAGAATCTCTAAACAATATCCTGGGTACTCCATGGGAGGTGGCGCTCCTTCCCACAGAACCACATTTCACATATTTGTTTCCTTTCAAGGGAAGTAACCTCTGTGGGCAGTACCAACTTGCCCTGCACTAGCCTAACGTTCAAACCGGCAAACGAGGTTGTAACTTGGAAGAAAGAACACGAAGCTGGCGAACCAAGACTCACATTGAAATGTAGACTGGTAATGACAGGAGTCAGATACAAGTGTAAGTGCATTTTCTTACTCTCATGTACTTAGTTTCGAGTGAATCGCGACTTAACGCCAGTCACCACATGGATTGTTCGAAATTCGCACTCAACTGGGATCCAATTGGGATTTTCTAACTTGTCGCTGACGTCCTTTGTATGCACTGAGAGTCATCGGCAACTGCATGCGCGTAGAATCAGATATGACGGGCTACTGAACTTTGATTAGAAAATATGGGTGTTGACTTCCGCTGGGTATTAATGAGAGCACAAGTTCTTGGATAAATAAATTCAGGACACTCCCGCCATATAAGAGTTAAATACCTGAAGGTTACTGACTTCTGCATCAGCGTTGATGAGATGCCTAAACTTTTTCCTTGTGTCCAAAGTGCACACAGTGCGGCGGTCATAGCGGCTTCGACTGAACCCGAAGAATGCCGACCGAACAGTCTACCGTTTTCATACAATCTTACCTGAAACGGCATACCTTACCCTTTCGCAGACGACTTGAAAATAATCTACAGCTTTTCTCCTGCAGCACTAACACAAGATTTATCCCAAATAAAGGAAGATCCGAAGACAATAAACACCTGAAGCATGACCTGCAGCCCCCTTTAAACCCAAATAAAAGTGGCATCCTCCACTCCAATAAATCCCACCCAGAAGTGACACTACACCTGGATGACATAGCACTGCAGATATACAACACTGTGAAAGACCTCGGAATCACTTACTCCAGAAGTTTGACTTTTATGGAGTATACAGATTCGATAGTTTTCAGAGGCAGAGGACTCGTAGGTCTTCTACACAGAAACGTGATCACACGCCAGGCAAAACTTATACTATACAAAGTTATGGTTCACCCAATATTAGAGTATTGCATGGTTATCTACGGTAACATGAAAGTATCTTATGGAATTCTAGTAGAGAACATTCAGCGAAACTTTACTGAGCGCCTACGAATACATAGCAATGAACTTCCTTACGAAGCAAGGTGCAAAAATCTAGAACTAGAATCACTCTTGCTGAGACGTCTGGAGCTCAACTTAACACTTCTTTTTCGTCTTTTACTTGGAAACTCTTAAACGAAATGTGCTATCACGTTTAAACCGACACCGGCATATAGTCTGCCTAACAGCGAGCACACCATCTCAATAAATAAGCATCGCTCAAAGCTACGATGCAGGTTCTTCATAGGGCAATACAGTATGCTGTGGAACCATCTTCTGGCTCCAGTGCGACTATGTTGGTCTCTCGGCCAGTTTCATCGATAACTTGGTGAACTCCTCCCATCTAACGATTATCACCAATTCGCCGACGGCCAAAACACAAACGGCAATGCCATGTACAATGGTGCTACTGGTGCCTAGACCAAGGGGAGACTAGCAACAATGACAAAAGTATACAATGCCGAAAACCAAGCGCATAGGTTAGGATAAAATCCAATTCTTAAAAAACCGACCTAGAGTAGACAGGAAGCGGAGTGTGATATGATTTGTAAAAGTGAACTCTGCAGCTACTCTGACGTAACCTGCACTCCTTTGTAACGTAACTGACCGATCGGTTTAACACCCCTTCCTTAAAATTCTCCCCTTAAAATAATCCCTGCACCCCTGACTGATAAATGAACTGTTCGTTGATGGATCTTCTCAGCATGTAACATGTTTCGTTATTTGCCCTTTGTTGTCAGTATTTGCATGCAAGTACTCTGCTCAACCATATTGTTTCTATAGCCCTGACATGGCAGCACTCAACAGGCAACGCCATGATCATCCCTCAACCGTGACTATATAAAGCGTGGCTACCATCTTAGCAAAAATCGTGAATTTTATTCAAATGTTTGTAACTTCATCAAACTTCTGTACATCGGTTTTCTACACATAAGCGAATGCCTGGTCCGAAATCCTCTAATCTCTCGATTTCATGGTGATATCTTTGGCTTCAGTTTAGTTTCCGCTACTTTCCTATGCACCTTCATCTTCCCCACAAGCTTACCTCTAAATAGTTGATTTTGAATGCTTCTTCAGGTAACTTTTGTAGTCAGTACAAAGAATCCACCCAGATGCATCATGGCTGAGCTACTCCTGCGCAGTATTTTTGTGCCGCTATTTCGAATTTCGCCCGCCGCTCGCTTTTGTTATTTATTTTTCAGGTCTTCCCACCTAATCTCCCATCCATATGGAATTCTGGAAATCGCATCGCTCAGTGTGCGCCTTGCCATCAAAACTATATGACGAACGCACACAACCCCAGGTCATGACTGTTCTACCTGCCCTACCTTCAAGAATATTGGAGGATTCAAACGATAACCGAATAATCCCTAATTTCGAACTGAGCTTGCTTCAGTATGCTGAACAATTGTTCTGCCATGCATTAACGTTCTTTCCGTAGGCACACCTGTTATGTGCAATGAATAACGGTACCCAATGTATTGCTTAACACTGTACATAACAGTGATTTCTCATTACCAAAATCATCAAACCTGTAAACTGGTCTGCATTCATTTAACTTACGTTGTATGAAATACATCATTATTATTATTATCATTTACTGAGATTGCATGGTGTTCGTCACTTTCGTGCTTTCTAGCCACAAGTGTTTTGGTTACAGAACTATATTGGATTGCTGTTATTTGGTGGTTTGGTTGTCACCTGTGCACTGGAACTACAGTGGTGATACGAAGTATGGAAGTATTGCGACTTACTCTGTGAATGACGGCTTCAAAACCACCACAGTTGCTCGAAAAAGGAAATCGATGGGAAAACATCTCCAATATCCTAACATCGTAGGCTGCCGTATGGCCAGCCACAACTGATCGTAGCATCACAAGCACATCCAGTGGTATTTTTGGATAGAGAGGTCACAAGGAGGCATATAATTGCTTTTCACACCCGCACAAGTACCTTGACAGTCAAACTATTCCTCAGTTCAATTTTATTGAATGGTTAACCCAAAAATTAACGATTTGAGCGAACGCTACCTTAAAAAGCTATGACTCGAGTGGTTTACATGGGCTGAATTCATCAGGAATAAATATTTATGATATGACATTCATATTCAAACTCTGTGACAATGATGGAGCTCCTGGCGGCGTGCATAGACTGTGATCCACCTAAAATTTGCCGCAGAGTTAACTCGTCAACTTCTTTCCCTTCAGTTTATTTTAGTTTTCAAACATACCTTTCAAAAGTGACAAGTACTCTTGCACTCTTTTAAAGTGGTTTCCAGCTTCCGTCTTCCCGGCCAACAACAAAACAAAGAATAAATGATGCCCCGGTTAGAGATGGGTTAAAAATTCTCAGAAGTACAGCACACTACAATCCCCTGGATAGCTATTTCGGTTTGCAGATTTCGACACTGGCCAAATAAACCACCACTACAAAAATAACGCCCCACTTTTTGTTCATTTACCGGTCGAAACCTTGGGCTAATGTAATACCGGGCGCCAGTTTCACGTTGCGACTTTTGTTACTGTTTTTATAAATATGGTACAAACGCGGCGATTATTCCGCCGAAGAGTTTACGGGGATTTTTTGAACTATTATGTCTATAACGGGTGAAATGAAAATTTGAGCCAAGATGGGGCTCAAATCAGCAATCACTGATTTTCCTGCCAGACGCTTTGCCAACTGGTAACGAACTACTATATTTGGAGGATTCCATATTGTACCACAGGTCCCGTTAGGAACGAAGCCATTATTACCGTTGCTATTGTTGTTAGTGGGAGCGTGGATCCCGCTGTTCCTTTAACACGTCATCGGCCCATCTTAAACACGGTTCTGAGTGGTGTGACCATGGTTACTCTATCTCAATTTTGCGGCTCTTCAGTCTTGCCTTCCATCTGGCCATTATTTCACACGAATGAATTGGTTATTCACATTTTCAAACACAGTTGTCAATGATTCACACAATTATTTCCCGCATTATTTGCTTCTCCCGTCTCTTTATCAACACAATACTCCTTCCAGTGACGTGCAAGGGCACTGAATGCAATAGCTTAATTCTTTGTGAGGGAGTTGCATGACAGTCATCCCACTGCTAGTGTACCGCAAGGTTATGACCAAAACACACCGCTAACAATATCACGTAATAGGTGGGTGGAAAATCCGGTCCCATGCTTTACACCTTATTGGAGAACGGAGACAGTAACTGCCCCGTACCTACATTGTATATTTGAATCTTTTGGTCTCAGGTGAATGAGGATGAATAACATGAAGCCATTAGCGAAATGCGCTCGACTTCTTGGGTAAATGGGCATCAGGTCCCCTGGTTGCGACTCTTTGGACAGGGCAGTGGGATGTATGGGAAAATTTAGGTGCATTGAAACTTAAAACCTGTGCCAAGGCCACATGAAGTTATCAGAATCTCTTTCATTTGCGAGGGGACAATTAACCTCTTATTCAATGTTAATTTCCTTTCTTTCACAAGCAAGAACTCCAATAATTGGCTTAAAATAGTGATGGCCACCGTCTGCATACGAACCCGCATCATCCTAAGTCAAGTGAGCTGACATAAGCCCTCCGAAGGACATTTAACACTGACATGGCCACCTGTTCAGAAAACCTGGAAGGGTGTATTCGTTGAACCGGTGGTTGCAATTGGCGTTCGTATGAAGTGAACGAGAAGTAGAAAGGTAGGGGTAAGATAAGAAGTAAAAAGTAATGCTTGTGCCCAAAGAGTGCACCACTGTTTAAATGAAACAATGATAAATGGAAAAATGTTGTACGTAAGGGCCAGTGTATCGTTAGCTTAACCTTCACTGTCATCCCGGCGACATAATGTATTTATCTAATCTTCTTTTGACCTCAGACTTCTGCTACCTGTTATCTGTAAACGTTTTTTAATCTTCCTCGTAGATGATGTCAGTGGACACTCCGTTAGTCTTGCTTCCAAAAATCTCCGAAGGTTGACCATTGGTAACATTATACAAACTCTAGAACGGGCCTTATTTGGAAACGGTACCAACTGATACTCAGCACTCACTGTAAGTTTCTTGGTGTCCTCACAGTGGGGTGGCTCACCTATCAGATTATTAACACACTGTGTATCCGCTGAACATAGGTCACTTATGTGCTGAAAATTTGAGCTTTTGCAGGTCTAGTAGTCCCCACCCGTGATTTTTCAGGCTCAGATTGGAAGAAAACAAACATTCAGCCGAAAATGAAACACCCTATGAACTGGGTTGCTCTTTAATTTTCAGACACATCCTTTCCACAAGGCATGAATTAGAACGACACACATTTACTCCAGAAAAAATAAGAAAACAAAGGCTGTATTATGAGTTTTATTAACCTTTTTTCAAGCACGGCCACTCTGCATCGGAGGTCGAACCAATCTGACCGTTTCAACTGGATTGCGGATATGCGCTTCGTTTGCAATGTCGCTCACTGTATGTTATGAAAGTTTATGTGGGATTATACATGATGGATCGTTGTCCAAACACGTCAGTTTGAGTTAGTCCATCCCAACACTATCTCTGGGGTTACAGAGCTGTATAATGAAATGTTTTATATGTCGTGAGAGGACTTTGAAGTGTCTTTCATACAAGGGGCTAAGGGTTGGTTGAATTCTGTGGCAGAGAATCCATGCGTATGTGCAAGTGTCTATTTTCGGGGATATAAACTCCCCTTGCGTCTGTCAAGTTCGCACCAGGATAATTCCTGAATGCTCACTATCACAAGACTGAATGCAGAACCACTGAAAGCGATAAGGTGGCAGAACTGCTGGACAGCTGATTAATAAGCAGTTCAACTGAGGAACGGATCTACCACAAACGCCTGCCAATATAAAGAGATTCCAGAACTGCGATGCGTAGCTGTTGAATGTAAAGATTTTGTCGAACCAAGTGTTTTCAAAACTTTTGACACTCAGAATTGGGAAATCTTCGGGCTGAGACGACATAAAACCAGAGTAGAAGAGCCTGGTTGCAGATTTAGCTTCGGAACACCTAGATGGAGATAGCACCTTTCGTCCCACCCAGCATGACTTCGGAAACGGACGATCACGTACCACAGACCTGATGACCACTTAGGATGACTGGACCGACAGATAGGACAACGAACAACCTGTCCACATTGTCTGTCTGGACTTGGCCGAAGCTCGGAATGGCCTACCACGCCTCACCATACTCACTCAACGGGCAAGGGTGGGTATCACTGAGCCATTCATGGCATGGTTCACAACATATCTAGAGACAGATAACTTCGTGCTAAAGTAAACTGAATTAGGGGGACCTGGATGAGTGCAAGGGCCGGAGTTTCCCAAGAGGCGATTCTCGAAACACTTCTGTCTGTACTGTCTACCAATGACCTTTATTTAAGTCTCCGCACCTATCCTCCTGCTTGCAGATGACGTGGTATGGGGAGGTTCCAACTATATTCCGGCTGCTTGCGCAGTCCTGATCAACCACGGGTGGTTTTAGCTTTGACCTGGGGGAGTGGAAGGTGATGTATATTCACACACTAAAGGCGACGAAAAACAGCCACGTCTGCAACAAGTGTGCGATCACCAGGGTGTCCTCAGAGGAGGACCTACTACTAAATTCCTCTGATACACTGAATGCTAGTGCTATCTATAAGGGAATGGCAACAAAGATGAAGATCACCAAGCATTTCTTAAATATGGAGCTTGGAGCCCTACCCCATGGACTGTTCCCCATAATAGTTGCCATCTGTGTTAGGCCATGCCCAGGGGCGTTTGGTGCGATAGCCCCCCAATACTAAAGAGAGGCCGGAGTACCCACCAGAAGGTACAGAGAACAGTGACAAGGTCAGTTACATGGCCATCGGACAAAACATGTGCGCAACGCCTTAGACAACTCAAATTGTTCACTTTGAGCTATGGAAGGAAAGGAGGCGGCCCGATAACACCCTCCAAGGTCATACGCCGAGGCAGCTACCCCAACGAGACTAAATTACAGGTCCGGGACCGACGGACTCGCGGGAACCCCACTCACATACTCCACCAGAGGGTAAAGACGAGAGTGAGATCAGACTTTTTCTTATTCAAGGCGTTGGCCTTGAGGAACGCTCTCTCAGAGGGCGTGGGCACAGCCACATCACTGTGCCCCCGACCTGCTGCCCAATGGGCTTACCACGAACATTAGCCTGAAGCAAGTGATGGTATGCCGACACATCCCTGTATTCCTCAACCCTATTGTCTTCAGTAACATTCATCATCTACACTTATTATTACCAGTAACACATATTTTTCCATAAGTAATAGACATATGAAGAACCCAACTGCATCACATCCCAGGCAAACTAGCCAACGCTCACACTTCTGTTACGCATACCAGAGCTATAGCGGACGAGTGGCTGGATCTACTGCATCGGAATCCGCCAAGGCCCTGGAACCATTCCACAAGACCAAGAAGCTAGCATGAAGAAATTAACTGGTTTACATAAGCTGGTTAAGTAGATATTGGATACTGGAAGTACATTTCACTTCTCTTATCTTACTCCCCACTTTGCGCATTTCTCGCACTACCTTTTAAATGGTGCTTAATGTCTGCTTTTACGTGGTTAAAAAAGCAGGCGTTGCAAAAGGCCAGTTGGCCCTACCAACGGTTCCGTCGCTCCTCTAAACAAAAAAACCTACAATTCACAAAATAAAACCTGCAAACACACAATCACCTACTCCAAAGCTTTAAACAGGTAAACTGTAAAAACGTCTGGGACCACTGAGGGGGCATGACCAAACGAAGGAAATGGGGCCTCAAGAACTAGACGCAAGGGATAAAAACCATCGATTTTCTACGCTTGCATCATCGACATTCAGTCACTTACTAAATCTTAGCTGTAGCACTAGTCTTAGATGACACACAGAAACTGAACCCGGAAAATAGAAGTTTAGATATCCGGCGCAACTTCTATTCCCTAAGAGTTGTTAAACTCTGGAACGCCTTTCCTGAAGATTTGATCCAGGTTACCTCGCCGCTTGGATACTTACTTGACATGTGACTGGGATCTTCCCAGAACTAATTGAATTTTCACACTTTAACCGCCACGTTTTCCTCTTTCTTTACCTGTCCACAGGTATACAACCACAAGAAGTAGTGATCCACGGATTGTAGACGCAGAAGCCAGTTAAGCGAAAGCTTCTGTTCCTTCAACAATCATTTGACTATTGAGGCGGGTGATTGAAGATTTGCACTACAGATGTTTAAAAAGTGGTTGCTAGTAGTTTTAATCATGCTTATTTCAGATTTGATGAAAAGGAGGATATTTCTTGTGTCAACAATGCCAAAAACACTATAGTTAAATCTTTACGTGCACGTTTGACTGAGGATTATGGCGTTGAAAAACAGATAGTCGACCAGATTTTACCAAAGAAAGATGTTGTGAAACATGTTAAATGGTAGGATTCTGGTACTTTTCATTTCACCATTCTAGCCATGAGCATGTAGATTTGTACGCAGACTCAGACGGAGAAATCTTGTTTTTCCGACAGAGAGAAGGTCCGTTTATTCCTTCTCTAAAGTTGCTTCATAAATGTAAGAGAAACTTAATGTTATCGTCCGGTGATTATTTTCTCATTTTGAATTAGTAATTTTCTCTTAAGAGGGTGCTAGCTACGAGTGCGTAGACCCTGGATTAATCCCTGCAATGTACCACACATCCTATGACGTCCTATGGGCCGTACGGTTGTTCTTCGAAAATCCACGAGCTGCTGAAATGTCTTATGTGAGCATAAAATGTTACTGGCTTGCAGCGAGGTACAGTAAATGGGCTTCTAGACTCAAGTATTTCCGCCACAGTTTTTGTGCTCAAGTGATCAGCCCTAAATGTGGGAATAATTTCAGTAATTTAACCACTGCGCGATACCTATATGAAATCTTTTAGTTGCCAACGCGATAAGTTTGGGAATTCAGTAACTCTAGTTATACTTAGTAAGAGAGGCTTGAAAATATTTTTGTTACTTCAGTCCCTTCCGACTGATTTCGTTTCGCACTATCTGCTATACTTACAAATCTCGAAGATGGCTTAAGTTTATTTTCAGGTTTATGAACAGTAGACCGAGTACCTTGCAATAATTTCGGCAGTATTAATCTCTGAAGATTTAGTTTCTCCTTGAGAGCAACTACCAAAAGTTTCTCTGGACTATGCGTATATTGGGTTTAATATTCGAAGCACTCAGAGTTATTTGAAGACCTTACGAAACAAGAACATTAGTCGAAAACCATCTGCACTTACTAATCCACAGTTTACTGCAGTCTTAGGGGCTAGAGTTATCGAGTTTTAAATCATTGTACTTAAAAGCCTAGAAAAGTGTGCAGTCATCAGTCATATAATCTTGCAGACTGTTTTCATCAGTGTAAATTAGTACGATGGTAATTGTATTAATTTCGTGTGACTAGCTGCTACTTGAATTTTGGTTGAATTTTAATGAAGGACCGCTTTATATACAATCTGAAAAATATCTTAAGGCCTCAGTCGGATCATCTTCAAGTTGAGTATAAGCTCTCTGATACAGTGATCAATGGTTGAAACTCATTGCCAGGAAATGTATTTAAACGGGAACTGCATCTTCATAGAAAAAAGGTAACCGGGATTCCATTCTTACCTGTGGATATTAAGAATTACACCTTTAGCGCAAAAAGGAAATAATAAAGATGAGGGGTAACAAAAAGGCATGAAATAGCATCAGAATAAATTTGTAATAGTTTAAAAGTGTACTACATGAGTTAGTTTCTAAGGTCTTGCAGTTGTGTACATTTAACTTTAATGTGTTGAAAAGATCTCTTTTTGCATTTGATGTCGGCTGGGGTTTACACCAAACACAAGTGTGTGAAGCCACCCAAAACCATTCCCCTATCTCGCATTGTAGGTTCACAAGAGTAACTACCAAATCGGAGGATAATCGAACTGATATGTAATGTACGTGTAAGGAGTAAAGTAGTTGAGTTCGTCATCAAAACAAGTGTCATAATAGTAATTGCATCTACCCTAATACAAGTTTGTTTACCATACTTTTAGTAAAGCATGTAAGGTTTTCTGTTGGTACCTAGTTACTAGGGCCAAAGTAAGTAGAATAGGATTTAAATCTAGGAGTGATTGATTGAACGTCAAGTACTTAATCTAGTGATCCACGTCAAACACCAGCTGCTTTACTAAGTTGGGAAGTTTCTTCGATACTGATGAACTGATTACCGGTGGAATCCGGCCATATATTATTAGAGTCTATTTCGTAATATTAGACTTGTGGTATTTTAGGTGCAAGTGCGTCTAATTTCTCCTACTGGTCGACTTTGAGTCATAGCTGTTGAAAGTGAAAGGTACTTGTAGATTACGGGTTGTGGTTCTTTGGATATTAGGAATATAAGCTCCAGAAGTTAGTGGAATAGCGTAATACCGATTTTAACTGTTTTGTTGTATTTAGTCTTTATCGAAAATCTGAGCATTTCGACTAGACTTTTTGTAGTTATTTTCTCCTCCACTGGTATTTGCCTGTTCACTTCCTCTTTGTATGTGATACTGTGATCTACAACTTGTAATATTTCACTTTTGTACAAAGTCCTACGTTAATTGTTTAATTACGCATCTATTCTTTGTTCTAGACGTGTATTTCTTTAACTCGTTGCTTGAATAACAGATTACACTTAACTGACACTTTTTGGGGACTGATACTTTTTCATTATTTCGAAAACATTGATTGGACTTTGATTTGGTTTTTCCACGCCTGTATTTTCTTTAAATAGCTTAAATATCTGGGATTCGACTTCGTGTATGGTCTGTTTGTACTAATACTGCTAGTCATAAGTCGGAACTACTAAATATCCTTTTGTGTAGGTCTTCAACTCATTCTTCAAATAGTCTTCGGCTAACGCTGTGCTTGTTTCCTAGTCGTCTGGTTTTCAAGTCAGTGGTTTTCGTCGCTAGAAAATTATTGTCCAAAATTTGTACGAGGCATACATGAAACTTACTTTAAAATTTCTCTAGATCCTTTCATCCTGCCTCATCTGCAAGTTGACAGAGGGGCTATCAAGCATGTTTTGAACGGTTCAAATATTATGTGTCCTGGTTTGACATCTCCTGGCGCTCGAATGTCGCAGGTTCCCAAGGAATCCATTGTTGCTATAATGGCAGAAGGCAAAAAAAATGCCCTTGCAGTTGGCATTACTTTACTGTCTACTGACGAAATGTGAGTTTTCAAGGCTTTTCTATATGTTTTTTCATGTGTCGTTGGTCGTTGTCTTACATTGAGTACTTATAGAAGAGACTGGAATTTGTTCTTTTTTTAGAAGTGCGGGGACAGGCATGAGTTCTGACATTTCATCGGAGCCCAAAAGAATCATGAGTGAAAACTTTTGTTTTTTCATTTAGGTAACACCGTAAACTGCTAACTTTTTTATTGATCAAGACATCATACAGTACTTAGAAGTAAGATTGCCTTGACGTGATTTCTTCAAAAAAAGAAATTTCATAAGTATTTGCTTTCTAGGTTCGAATGATTTAGGAAAATTTTTTTTAAAACAAGTGACTTTTTGTAACGATACAGTGACAATAAGGTGAACTCATTTAAAGATCTAGCTTATCCCCAGTAAATTACAACACATCGCATTGGGGTGTACAAAGTTACACTGAAAGTAAGTAACTACTCGTATATTAATAACCTTGGTGATTACCGTATAGATTAAGGCTAGGTTTGACGGTGCAGTTTTTTTGACAGCTCACATGAAACTAGATGGTTTACTTGCTCAAAAACACTTTATGCTAGAGTATTAAGCTCTTTGAACTTTCTTCGTTTCAACTCCCTAGAAAGTATGAGACTCTATCTCAATGCTCTTTTCAGATTGTGACTGGATAGTATGCAACCAAAGATAAGACTAAGGCCAGTTGAACTGTTCCTCAAAGTTTTCCACCCATTGTTCCAGCCATCAACCCTGGGAGTGGATCGCAGACACAACCATCTCGGCTATGGTCTCACCAACCATTGACTCATTGCGACAGTTCCCTTGATAAGTCTGAATAATTATCGACTGTTACCTTTCACCGGTGTTATTTCTATCTCTAGCTATTGTTGCCCACCGCTGCTCGCGATCATGATGTATATTCGTTGTTGGTCTACATTTGAGTTGCTTCCACTCTTCATTGTGCTCGAGGTCTACGGAAATACATTCACTTGCATCCATTAATTCAGAAGAAACTGCTGAGATCCGTTGACATTTTCTAACCTCTTACTAAGAGTCAGTCAGTCTCTAACGCTTTTTTATTAAAGCAGGTTGAAGATGGGCCTTAATTTCTTCTATATGAGTGTTGTTGTCTTGTTCCGCTAACTGTCTAGCCAGTTTTTCACTGCATGCAGCTTTAGAATTCTCATCATCGAGCTGCGCTCGCAACGGTCTTGGTACTGTAGTTTTTCCACGTCTATCTAGTCACAGACATCTGCATGCTCAAACTGTGTGATTGGTGTCCAAATACGTACTCCAGAAAGACTGGTAAACTCCCGTCGAAAATCTCCAGCGGTGGCTCATAACAACATGTTCTTTGTCCATTGTTGAATTGAGATCTGTGAACGCGACTTCAGACTGGATTATTTTGTGTCTGTCAGAAATAAGTGGTTATCTGAACACAGTTATAGCAAGCGACCGAGCTCATCCTTTCGTTCTACTAGGATCCCGAAGGTACCACCTAGGTACCTTTTTGTCTGACAGCCTCCCTACTTGCGCATGCAAGTTACCTTCTATGAAAACATTAGAAAGTTAGGCTTTCAATTTGAGGGTCAGACAGTATACGGCAGCACTCATCTTCTGCTTCAATCGAACTGCTGTAATTCGGTACTTAAGCAGAGATTACAAGGAGATAACTGCAGGTTTCATTACTCTTTGGTTTTCGCTGCATCATTCAGTCAAACAGTGTATACACAATCACTAACCGGGACTCAGTCCACCAGTGCCTCTTCTTCCTCATATCTTCATGGACCGCAACACTTGACTGCGGAAGTCGCCGAAACTTCAAAAGTGAATTAGTCAGATTCATCCCATTGACCACTTGAGTTTAAGTGAATAATCACACCTCAGTCCTGTTTCGCATACACAACACACGTCTACGGTCTAGAATACTAGGGATTTAAGGAGCAAACTTTAAACTGACAGAAGGTGCGGCATTGAATGCCCTGGTCTCTAGTTTCGAGTTCGGTTTTCAGGATACCAGGAGTGCTAGAAAGAACTGAAGATGATGTAGGAATATTGACCGAGAGATGTGGATAGAAATTAGAAGGCAAAGATGTGAAAGAATAATAATAGTCATACAGGACTTGGGTGCTGACAGTGATGTGGGGTAGTTAAATCTCTCTAACTGCCAATATTGTCGAAGTTATTTCTTCAAAGTATCTGAAAGAGAAAATAGGACGTTTTTGCGTGACCTTAGAGCCCATGTGACATCTGCTTCTAGGTCGGCCATTTGCGGTCTTTTTTAAGTTTGAGGTTTGATTGTGTATTGAATCCAACTGGTAAACAGACATCGCCAGCACCTGATCATAGGGAATGGAGGGGTTTGTTACCTTTGAAACCAACCTTTTCTAAATCCCCACCTTTTGACAGTTAAGATAGGGCTAACATGGGCTGCTGGTCACCCGTGAGAAACAATTTATTTTTGCCACTCTCCATCCACCAAGCTCTGTGACTTTGTCCTCAAATCCCCATTACAGCGTAGCTATTTACATTATAGTGGTAGCTTCTTTTAGTCTTATCACTATCTAGCAGACCTTTTGGGTATGTTAGAACCTCAAGGAGCAACCATTTCAGCCAGTATAACTTATTGGATCATTTTGATATGCAAACCCAACCACCGCGTCAAGGTGGCACCTGTCTGTCTGACGCCACCCCATCTGCACCGACCTCGGCGACTGGGTTGTATCATAGCCCCTTGCATAAATGGGGTTTACAGCCTAGTACATAACTACGTAGCAGGTTCAGTTGCATGAATTTTATTTTTTAAAAGCGAAACTAGATGAATATGTTGCAACATGTTTCTCAGAACGCAAATGGTCGACACAACAGGAGGTACATAACTGACGAAAACGTGACATCTCTGAAATATGTAGAAAGATAAATTATGATCACAATTCTAGTAGAAAATCGAATGAGAATCAAACGAAGAGTGATTTCCATTTCTTTATCTTTTAAATTTTGTTCAGTTTCTCCAGGAAAATGTAGAAAATGCCCAAATTTCCAAAATGTTTTCTGGAAAATATCAAGAAATTCGTTTTTTTGTCAGCAACGCCGTATCGAGAAATTTAAGTATCCTTCAATTTACAAACCAGCTTAATAAACCCATTCTCAAAATGCCTTCACCATAGGGTATCTTGATCAAAACACACATACATGCTTCTTTGTTGCCGTGATCATCGTCTGGCTGAAGTGGCAATAAACGCATACACTTCGTTCTTGCTTTGTCTTGTTCTTGCTCCCCGGTAGCTAGCCGGCGGGTCAGACGAAAGTGTTCTGAAATTTGTTTCTTGTGTTACCTGTTCTAGTGTAACGTATCAAGTTATGTTGAACTCTTGAATCCAAATCCTATCAAAAATAAAAGACTTCTGTAAAGGCGTTTGGCTTTGGATTTTAGCCATGTTTACTAGCATCTTGTAGTAATGATTTGCATGATCATTAGAACTGCATATAGACACTTAGATGTAATTCAGTAATCATTGACACTAAGCTGTGATTCTAGCCTTGCTTTGTGTAATCCAGTAATGGTTTTTGACCACCTTTACCTCAACTAGTGGGATATGATTCAAACCCCCTAATCCACTGGTAGTTGGCGACTGTGTTTGAATAAACTAAATAGGTAGGACAATGACTTTGTTATAGAATGCTTGGATACTCCGCTTCACATACTTTAAATAATTATTCAATTACTTCTGTCAAGAGCCGCGCTCCACCTACTGAGGTTTGGAGAGCCAGGTAGTATCACTGACCCTCCTACAGTAGGTGTGAGTCGTTACGTACTGCACGGATGTGCGTAACGTGAGTGAATGCGTTAAAAAGTGAGTGCGTCAAGATATCGTCTCCTTTTTCGAGAAGTCACTATAAAGAGTCTTGTTACTTTACGTTTCTCTCCAGACATCTATTTCCCAGGTAGATCAGCATTAACGGGTCGTGTGTTTCAGGCCTTTCTGGTCAAGGTTACTAAAGTAATAGGTTTTCTAGACACTGGTCACCATACCATTTCTGTCATAGAAAATTTTAGGACGCCTGATTGTTTATTGCCCGTTACTCTAACTAACTCAAATATATTTTTTTGTGATGAGATTCGATGTTGATTCACATGTTGACTGGTTTCTATTTTCACAAAGTTCTGTGACCCTTATATAAGATTTTTGGAAGATTACGTTTAGGTAACCCACTGACGTTCCAAATGCTGTACACTAGGATGAACTGACTAAAGTTGCAAGCATCTTGTAGAAACCCAATACCTAACAGTGAAATGTTTGTTAAAGCAAAAATTAGTCGTGCTCCATTTCACTGATTTACTGTAAGTGCAACCAGTGCAGATCCTCTCCTTAGACCAGCAGATAACTGTAAATGTCACGAAGTTTGATATTTAATTACAGTATTATCGTAAACCAGTTTCTTCACACAGGTTCGTTCAAAGAAGTTAGATAATCATCAAAATGACAGAGTATAGTATGATCAAAATTCAAACAAGCACTCCAGAAGTAGCGAGTCCTGTACACAGGCACTTTGTCATTATTTCACATGGTGATATACCGACGTCAGTAGTCACATCCCCGCAGTGATTAGTAATCAGAATAAGCCATTATAGCATTCAGTCCTTTAGAAGCATGACATCTATGCACATCTGCAGATTACACTTAAGATTCTCTAACCAAACTAGTTTCATCTTTCATGTTAATCGATCTGATTTTGGAATGGATTCTCGTTTATGCCTTTTCACTTTCGTGGGAGATTGACTATGTGCAGTCAATAAACAAATAAGTTGGTAAGTACGTTTCAAGAGTTAACACTATATTTTAGGTGGTTCGAGACAGTTAACAGGTAATCTCACTTGTTGGCAGTGTTAAAAAATACTTATCTTTGCTAGACCCCTCTGTGCCGATGAGCAAGAAATCTAAGGCGACCGTCTCGACGGTGATCTATTGTAAACTTGGCTGTTGGGAGTTGTTCCTTACTTTGAACTAGGTAGCATAGTTTAATGCTTCTGTCCAGTGACCGACTAGTATGACTATTTTTTCCCCTTAGGAATTGATAAATTTACCAGAGATCCTGTGTTCAGTTTCGAGTGCACAAACAAAAATTATGTTAGATGAAGGCAATAAGGAAAAACAGTGTCTTGTAGAATTTTACTGGTACATTAGAAATAGTTTGTATGCGTTTGTCGCTTCCCTGATGCAAATTACTTCTTTAGTACTGATATGCGTTTATGTTTAGCTTGGCACAGAAAAATATGAATCAGCTAATTTAGAAGGTTAAAGGTGTATTGGTGAGTCAGTAGTTGACTAAATCTCGACGTCGATGTTTAGAATGTGTTTAGCTTTGACTGGCCTATACTAAATGTGGTGCTGGCCGGACATCCGACCACTTATTTCAGGTCTAGTGTACGGTGTGGTGATGAGCTTTAAACGGTTTCTCTTAGCAGTCTTCCAAATGACGAAGATTTGCAGGTTCATGTAAGTGTCAACGTATCAGAACTGATGGATTTAATAAATCTATGTGTATCTGCATACTCCCAATTCAATGGAGGTATATATGAGCACTAACAAAATTCACAAGACAATTGCCCTTCCATATATCAGTAACCTCTGGAAAATAGTGGCCATATCGCTACATCATCCTGGGATTGGTGTACCACATAAACCAACAAAGTCATTACAACATATCTTGTACAAACCGAGAGACCTATTCAGTAAATAAGAAATAACCTGCGTGATTTACTGAGTCAGTTGCATCGACTGCAAACATAATTGAGTGGAACAATTAAGAAGACCAGTATTACAATGCTACATGAACACAAGCCAGGTGTCAAATGTTATGAAATGAAGCCTTTCATCTCAATACATTGTGATGACTACGATCGTACGTTTGATTGACACAAACTCGAAAGTCGTTAGAATTTTCAGTGACATGACACTCAACTAAGTAAGTAATAAATTACCACGTCAGTGTAGACACAGTGTGTGAATGTGCAAAACAAATCAGTGGCTGGGACTGAGCAATCGAATTACAAGGAAACCTCCAATGCTAGCAAAAGGGAAATCATTAATCATTTAGGTCAAGAAAACTTACATCTGCGTAAAAAAGATCGTTATGTAACCAATCAGTGCAGCGAACATCCAGCGCAAACTAACTATCCAATAATAGCCAAAAAAACACCTAGATTTGAGCAAATCGACCAACATAGAGCGCTCTCGGGCGTACAGGAGTCAACCATTCAAACCACCACAGTCTTTATCGATTCAGTCAAGCGAAAATATCAGCCAATCAGGTCAAAGCGACATCAATTCATTCAAACAGGAAGGGTTAACCGAAGTTACCTCATTTTACTGCGCCCAAATTAAAGAAGTCAAACAGTGATGCGTTCACATACTCATCCGACAGAGCCGGATGCAAAACGTCAAACAGTCAGGTTCAACATTCACTCAGATGGTCAGTCAACTTGGACTCTAGAAAAGTATCATGTTATAAATATCCATTCACAGTCAATTTCCTTCGCTTTATTGTAAAACAGTAATAAAAAAGTTTAAAGTATTATCGAAATGTTTGCCAACCAAAACCCTATGTCAGAAAAACGAATTATCTTAGGTTATAGAGCAGCTCATCGTGAATGCTTAACATTTTATGAATTTTAGAACCACTGAGTATTAACGCAGTTGAGAAATTCCATTCAATCGGTTCTACTTGTTACACTGTCATTTAATTTTCCAAGTTGATATTCGTCATGGACTGACGTCAGTTGGAGGAAAATTGGAAACCTGGAAGAACTGGACATCTGTTCTTTCCTAGTATGGGACTCCTCAGCAGTGTGCACCCATGACTTCGCCCCACCAGGGGTCGAACCCAGAACCTTCAGGTTCCGTGGCCAGCACGTTGCCATTGAGCTGGCCACCGTGTCAGAATCCAGTGGTTCATATTTCCAACTTTAATTAGTTCATGACATAGCGCGTCCATCACCCGATGTCATTATTGAGTATTTGTCCTCATGTCCACCAGGTTTGCCCCACTGTTCACGACTTCTCATTGGAACTCCAGGAATAACCCCTCAAAGCTGGTCATAGGTGAGCACTAGATCAATTATATGTTGGGGGTTTTGGGGATTTAGTGACTTTCCAAGTTGGTATTCATCATGGATTGACACCAATTGGAGTGTAGATATATATCCTAAATATGAGTTTATTTACTAGGGTATTATAAACGGGTATGGTCAGTGTTATTTTTACAATTTCTGTGGTTTTCATTATCCTGTTTATAATCCTCCTTCTTTTTCTTTTAGCCTAACAATCAACAAGGGTATTGGGGTTGAAAATATCCACTACTTAAATGACGGATTATGGCGTCTCAAAGCAGTACGGTGATTGACAGTGTTGTGATAATTACAACTACTGTCTTGTATGTATAGACCTCTGGTTACAACTCACTTCCCGTATTCATTTGTAATCTACTTTCTAAACAGAAAGGTGTATAAATATAATTTTGGTGTAAACTCTTTTATTTCTCTGCATAAAGATATCTTTAAAACTGTATATTTCTGAATACATATTTGTATGCTAATATTGGGACACTGTGACAATCAAACAAGGTACATAACAATCGAATACTTAACGGTTTATTGTTTTTCTCAATGGAAAATTCCCTCTTTAACCTTTTAGTTGTTCACTGTTGCATTTCAAACTTCTGCTTACCCGCTGTCATTTGGCACACATAATTGACAAATTTGCCTTTTTCGTCACTGGCTGGATTTTATTTCGCTTCTTCTGGCATTGTTGAAGGTCCTTTAGTTATTCATGGTTCTCTTTAGTCTTAGGAATACAACTTCTATTGATAAGGTGTCTTCACAGTGTATTGAGTTGCTCATAGGCATTCTCAAAATCTTTCTTCATTTCATTAAACATTTTGTTCTCAGGATTCAAAAGAATATCCACCATGAAAAAATAAGGTATCATATTTCCCTTCAGTGTTTTAGCATTGTGTTTATTGTTAAAAGAACAGTTATGTTCGTTATCACAAACTTTGGTAGTGGTCACCGCCAGGTTTCAGTTCCACACAATGTAAACGCATCTTGTTTAGTACAGAAGCTTGTGGAGTAGTTCCAAGCTGTTGTGTTATACAGATCATATTTTCATGCTTTGATTTGTTTTTTCAGATGTCTGCATATATTTTGTTGGTTCACTTCAGAAATTAGTTGTGTGTGGGCCGAAGAGTAGGATATCTGTTAGTGCATTTGTATTAAGTTGTTAAGCGCATCTTTATTATGTTTGTTATCGTTCCAATGTGCTCAACTGCTGGTTAATATGATACACAATGATTAAATTTTGAGTGAAGTGAAAGGTTAGAGAAGACAAGAAGTTCCACAAACCTATCTTTTCGGTGACTTCATTTCGCAACCAGCTCATTATCTGGAGTTATTTACAAGGTGAGAAGGAAGCAACCAAAAGTGCGTTTCCAATATACAGTTAGAAACTTTAATTTTATGTAGAATAGAAACCGTAAAACTCTTGGTTGTATTATGTTCTCTAAGCTAGGTTGTTTAATCGTAAAGCTTTCATCGTCTTTTTAGACGATATCTTCAGCATTAACTTCAGTATGAAGTGAGCTGTCAGTATCTCTCTGCCAACACAAAAATCTATGCAGTCAATGACACAACACTCGAGGGAAACACTTAATCACAAACCAGTTCACCAGGGCAAGCTACTGAATCACTCATAGTGAGATATTGACAGCTCACTTCATACTGAAGTTAGTGTCAATGATGTCGCCTAGAGAGACGATGAAAACTCCACGATTAAACAACCCAGCTCAGAGAACACAAGCCAACCAAAACCATCCACCTAAGCTACAAATATTCAAAAAGCTGTTTCACTTGTTTGATGTTGTTTTAATAATGTGCTTTGAAAACCGAATTCCTTTCGTTTAGCTTTTTTAAAAACGACTAAAAACAATATTGTCTTCATTATTTTTCGGTATTTGTATTGTTCATACGCTAATTTCTCAAGTCTAAAGATTTCATCAGTAATGTAGAATAAAACCGATTCATAAGTACTTATTAAACGAAGTGTTTTTATTATCCCAATAAACTGTAGTAGAAATTTATTTCTTATAAAAGTGAATTAAGAATGTGTTGTGAATACCAGGTCATCAACTGTTTCAATGCTGAATTTCGGGTTAGGCTGAAAAAAGAAAAGGTGATGGAATCAATGTGTAAGACCAATCCATGAAGTCTAACTTCTAGCTTGAGTCGTGTAGCAGGGTGCATCACTTCTCAGTCCAAAGTTACAACAGTGCATACATCTGTAGCGTACATTGGTCATTGGAGGATTTTTTTTTACCACTTCAGCAAATGGTGAGTTTACTGTTGATACTAGCGTCTCAAAGTTTTCCAACTTGTAGTGATCACGTCTAATAGAACTGCAGATGGATTTGATCACTGTCTGGTCTTTCAACATTTTGATTTTTTGAAAATTCTCCCCCCTCTAATACTTAGCTAGGTGTTATTTTTTAAAATTCTTTTCACCTTCTCTTTTTTTTTACTGTTGTGAAGTGTGCAGCTTAGACTACTGCACTTCTGTGCAATGTTCTACTTCATTCATATTAACATCGGTCTATATAACGATATTATTATTCACTCCTAATGAACACGTTATCACATGCCATCGTTCTGCGTTAGCGTTTGACCACCATTTCTTCTGAGTATCAAACACATTAGCTTAATGACTTTGAAAAGGCCTTTTGAAATTAAAGTAATAGCTGGGACTGAATAAGTCTTATAGTCTTATATAGTTCTTCCACAACTCTGTAGACATTCAAGTTGTTGATTTCTTCATTATAATCGTTATTATTAATTTTTTGATATATGATAAGTATCAGTATCCTAAACGCTGGAATGGTTTTATCATTTTTGGTCATTCAGCTAAACAATCTCCTTTCATTCAGGAATTAATTTGTCACTACCATTCAGTCGATGAAGTTGATGTCACTGAGTTTTCCTAATCAATATCTAATATCTACTAAACTAGATAGACGTTGTGGGAAGACGGAGGATTGAGTTTTTGAAGTTTTCTTTAAACACGTCTTTGAGATTATTCATTAGATAAAGAAGGATCATCAAAATTATAAATGTTGAGTTTGTGCTGTGCTAAAGGAGCATAGGTCATAGTTGGTATTGATCGGTGAAATTACACCAGATATTATTCCATATCAAATTTTTGACTAAATTTCTGGATTGATGTATGCCAAAATACCAACTTCAAGAAGATAAAGTAGATAGAACGGTGTGACGAAATGGCGTATCAGGATATTATTATCATTATTATTTGTCCCTTGTGTTCCTAGTGGAACATAGGGCTTCAGTAGCACGTCTCCATTCTACTCTGTTCTCTGCAATCTTTTGAGCCTGGCCCCACGACTGCCCAGAAGCTCTCATATTTTCCTTACATGATCTCCTCCATGTCACCCTCGGACGCCCAACTGGCGTATCAGGACAAGTTGCCATTTTTTAAGCAGTGGTGAGAACAGAAACCAAGGACTGGGAAATAATGAATATCATAACAACAGTGATAGTAAGAAATGTGACTAGAATCTGACAGTCAAGTATGCCTACGCATCTACGAAGTGGCACAGTATGAGCCTCCTGCCTTTTAACTATGGAAGATTATTTATCTTGTTTTTCTTTATGCTAGTTAGAATAATTGGTGCCTTTTTTTGGATAGGTCTCAATACTCTTAAACTACTCAGTTATGTCCTATCGGTTGTGTCTTACTCATCAGTTTGGCCTGTTTAGTGCACTGTTGCTGAAAAGGTCTTTATTAGTCTGTGCCCTGTGGGATCAGTCTAGTGCAGAATGGGTGGTGGGCTACTAATTTCGATTAAGGTTACCTAAATTCATTTACTTTTGTTAACTGCGTTAACCGCAGTTTCTCGGGTGGATTCTGTTGATCAAAGGGAAACTATCGTCGGCATATTTAGTGCTCTGTGGTAATTGCAGAACTGTTAGTCCATTTTAAAGCTGTGTTGTAAAAGTCCTTCGAGTCTCATTTTTTTGCGGTCTTTCAGATGCAGGTGCTACTAGTCAGACTTTACTTATCCATTCTACTCACTATTTGGTGACACAACTGCAACCATTGTGTGTTTACCTTTGACTCGATTTTGTTGGTAGCCATTTGAAGATTTCAAACTTATTGTAGAATGTTGCCAGCTGACTGATTGTTGGAGTGCGGTCCCAGTAAGCGTTCACAAATATTCGTTTGTTACAGTGAAATATTGAATATTGTCTAGGTCCCACTATATTTAATTCATCACTCATACTCAAGCACTGAATTTGATTGTGTTTACTTGCCTCACCGTTTGCAAGGCATTGGGCAGCCTTATTTTGCATTTCGAGTAAGAGTAAAATGTTTAGGAGGTCAGAAATATTGTTTTGTTAGCAGAGAGCATTTTGAATGGCTTCAAAGATGGAGGGAGTGTACATTTGTATGAAATAACCAGTAGCGGAGAAAGGTTAAATAAAACAAGGAGATACTAGGGGAAAAAACTGGTAATGATCTTGAAAGTCTCGACGAACTGATAGGTTTTGGTTGTTTACTGAGCTCATGTAACTGACTTCAGTGTCTAAGAGATATGATTCAGGTCGTCTGTGTTTGATCTTTGGGAAGAATTTTCGGCAGGATTTAGTTTGTTCGTTAATGAATCTTTTTTTGAAATATGGATACTAATGAAGGGCTGAATCTACAGCTTTTTAAGAGCAACTTCTTTCTTAGTGTAGCACTGTACCTGTATCAGTTGGTTAAATAAATTAGGCGAATCTCAAAGGTCAGACGTATTGCGTACGAAGAGTCTTATTGACAGTCACCACTTTACCGTTTCTAGCATTCCAGTGTTGAAACCAACTACATAGGTTAAAGTTTATTCAAACTTTATAGAGTGCCTGCCAAGAGCGCTACTAATACTGAAAAAGTACTATGACTTTGTGCGTTTTGACTGGTAATTGATTCAACCTGCGGTAAACATGACGCATGGTCTATCAGTGATTTCAGTTTGGAGTTTCATCAAGGCTGATAAATGGTAAAGAATAAGTCGGCTGGGATTCGATATGATTGACTTAAACTGTTATTACATAGGAACTGACTGCCACAGTTACCAAAAGTATCTGTATTAGAGTGCTAAAGGGTCTTAAAAAATGACACTTAATGCCGCACTGTTTCTTCGTGTTTGTCTTGAAATCTCTATCTTTAAACGAGGTTATTACTAATCAGGGTTGGCCAGTGATTCAGTTTCAGGGTAAGTGATTGAAATACCAAATTATTTGGAGTGACATCCCAATAACTTAAGTCCCATGGCTCATACAGATGAGCTAGTTGGAACATAGCTACAACTCCTTAGCCTTGGTTTGCTGCCTAGTTGCAGTACTATGAAGCACCGTGCCTCAGATGGCTTCCAGCCTTTGTGAAAAGGAAAGAACTAGAGACCAAGACTGATCTAAACCTAAAAGTTTCAGGCGAAGTCTATATACTGAATTTATATCTGTGAATGATATGCGCCAGCTGTCATCCCGCTATCGGAAAAGGTTGAAATTTTGTTATAATGACCATATAATCATATAATACAGATTGAAGTCGGTGTTTCATCATATTTATTCTAATATTCCATGGCAGCATCCGTTTGAAGAAAGGTGGGTTGCTTTGGCTCTGCTCATGATATTAGCGATTTGTGTTTGCAGGTCATCATCACTGATGTTGCTTGTAAGAATTCGCAGCTTTACTTATTTCTGTGTATTCTCATTAAAAATCAGGTCTTGGAATTACTATAGTAACATCCCGGAAATCGATTTTCATGTCGGTTACCAATTAGTTTCGGTTATGAAGTGCCATGCTTTTAAGCGAAGGCTAATAAGTGATACTTCCGTGCGGTGCAACCACTAGCAATCTAATTCTCGAATTTGCTGCCTAATGTAGATACTTGGTCTTCATTCTCCTGAGTGTTTAGGTTAATGATAAAAAAAATATTGGATTCAGTGTTTTGTGAACAGATATGTACTGCAGCACAACACTAAATGTGGTTTGTTTATGTAATTGGAATGATGAAACCGCTCGCATGTTTCGTCTTTTATGTGATATTTTTATTTGGTTTAACCTCAGGTGATTACTAAAGTGGCGTAAGTTTTTGACTAAATGATGGCACAAACTATTTAGACTGAGAATTCTTCGATGCATATAATCGGTATGTTTGCGCAACTTGCAGTTGGTTTTCTTGATCCGCTTTAGTATCTAGAATGGTCTTCCAGAAATTGATTGTTTCCAAGCCATTTTTCGTCTAGGATAGATGTAGAAAAATGTGGACCATTGGATTCCAATGCAGTGGATGGATGATAGCGTGCTTAGTGCGAGACCTGATGGATAGAGGTTCGATCCCACATGGTGTTGTGGGTACACACTGCTGAGGAGTTCCATACTAGGAAAAGACAACTATTCAATGCTCCCAGGTTTTCAATGATTCTCTCTCTCTCGTGTCAACTTATGATTAGAACCACCTTGAAATCAATGAGTATTTGGTTAACTGGTTTACTGAAAGTTATCTGTATCACTTGAAGCCAATTTTGTGAGTACTTTTACAAATGTGTAAATGGTTGCCACTTGATTACAAATGCATCTCGACCTTCTGTAGAAAAATCTGCACTAACAGAACAGAACTAGGAACACGTTTAGATTGCTTAAGCATATACATTTTCAAAGGTGTATCTATATAACTGAGTTCATTTATTTTGATGTTATGTGAAATGAATCACAAAGGTTTATTTGGGCTTTATGTCTTTTGAGTTTCTTTGATAACATAATAAGTATAATGTAATTAATCCTTCATCTTAATTGTTGCTGACAGCGTCAACACGTAGTATGACACGAATGGATTACACTAACAGGTTTGCAAAAACATGTACACTGTGTGTTTCACCACTGACCGCCATCAAATTCTGAATCTGTTGTATTTCTTCATACCATAAGTAAAATAATATATTCTTTGATTTCAGCTTCATTTCCGAAAGTACAAAAGAAGAACATATCTCTTAGTAGCGTCTTGTTTCCTGTTTGTGGTTCTTTACCTGAGTACAAGTTATATAAATGTGTACAATGATTTGGTAACAAATGTGTCTGGTTGGAGATGGGGCCCATCTGACAGTTATGTCTGTCCGTTATGGGATCATTCTGAAGAGAATCCAGCTGTACATCGTTTGGCAATTTTAGTACCGTTCAGAGATCGTTTTACTGAACTTCAGGAATTTATACCTCATTTGGAAAGTTTTTTAAATAATCAAAAGGTACGCCATACATTTTTCATCATTAATCAAGTGGATGATCTTCGGTAAGCTGAACTTGAAAATAACTTTTGCATGTATCTTATTACTTTAGGGCATCGTTTTGGCTTGTATTCTTCAGATAAGCACAAGACTTTTCTCAAGGTTAAAAAACAACTTCCTAGACTTTAAACATGTAACTGTACTTTATTTGCCTTTCATCTTCACTTAGTAGTCTAGTAAAGAAATCACAATGCATTATTTTTAGAATGACGGAGTGGCTATTAACCATTGTTACTGTTTTACAATTTTACGAGGAAAATTCGTTTAACTAAGATTTATTTTCCATAAAACTGGGAATGTTTTATTCGGGACTTATATTTTGGTTCTGAATTAAGCTCCTTATTATCTACGAGTTAAAGTTGAAAAGACATCAATTCTTTAGTCATTTTTGTTTGTTTATGGGTTGACTTAAGATAACCGGAAATCGTTTCATATTAACTGAAAACCCTAACACAAGTGGTCAGATGGAAAATTCACAACCTAAGATTTCCTTCAGATCAATCATTGATGTGACGAATTCGATAACTTATCGAAATATTTATTAAAAATATTAAAACTATTCCAGGATAACAATTTTTCAATTCATAAAAGTGCAGACGATTTCAGAAATAGGTTGATAAGTGAAAATGAAATTGCGTCAAGTTCTGATGTCACTTCTTTTACCAGTATATCCATTTACATATGAATAAGTTTACACTGTAAAAGTGCTCTAGATAATAACGAAACCTTACAGCTTAATGTCCACATTCAACAGAGAATATTATAAAAGCTTTAAAAGCTATGCCTAGAATATAGTTGTTTTCCTCACAGGAATAGAATTTTCTGTCAAGTAAATGGAATTAAACTGGTTTCAGTCAATGTTGTATGTGTAGACTCTAAGAGACATAGCACTAAACAGCTTCCAATGCCAACTAAGAACATGCTGTGTAGGTATATTGATGATAGTTTTTTCATTCTTACGAAACCAGACTAGCTTAAAATATATGCTAAGTCTGCAGTCTAATGAGAGGATTCTAAATTTTTTAGATTGCCTTATCCAAACATCAAATCAATATGAATTCATAGCTGAAATGTACATGATACTAATGGTATTGGTTAATATTTGTATTTTCAATGGGATCATCTAATCAACATAAGGGCCACAGTAACTTTGAACCATACTGAATAGAGCAAGCAGCATAACAGATTGTAATGATTTAGATTGTGAAATTTTTAAAGTATACAACAAGTTTAAATTGGGAAAGGAAATTCAAAACACTTTAAAAAGCACATTGTCAACAAAATCATGGATATGTTGAAATTATATCGTGCGAGCTTTACTCAACTTCATAACAAATCGTTGACATTTTATAGTATTAAAACTTGATGTAAACTTTTGAATTCCTTGTGAAAGCCTTTAGTGAAAGTGTATGGCTGTGAAACATGGCCATTGAAGGTGGAAGACATGAGAAGGCTTCAGGTGTTTGACCACCGTTGCCTTCGTAGTACAGGCCGTATTCCGTGGTGTCACCACGTGAGTAACACAGAAGTCAGGAGTAGAGTTCTAGGGAGAAGAGGTAAGTCAGTTGATGAGGTTATGAACCTTCATCGACTGAGATGGTTGGAACACGTACTACGTATACTTAGTCATCGATTGTCTCGTCACACAATGTTGGCCGAAGTAGGCCCAAGCTGGAAAAAGGCTCGAGGTGGCCAGACTAAAACATGGCACCAATGTATGAAGTCTCTGACTATTAGCTTGAGTCATGTGGGGCGATGCATACTAGGTGGTTGAGGTCCGCGGGACAAGAGGAACCAGTGGTTGGAGACTCTAGGTGATATGGCTCAGAACCGATGTCAGTGGCGCAGATGTATACACACATTATCCTCATCTTAACATTATGCCCAATCTCACCATTTTGTCATTCTTCCTTTCTTTCTTCTCGTGCTTCGTATTTCTTTCGACTGAATTTTCTTATCGTCATCTTGCACCTCACTGCCTTTTTACTTGACGTACTGACGTGAGGTGTGGCAAGTGGGACCGTTACGCAGTAATGCCTGGTCCTATGTTGATATTGATGATGATGATGACTAGTGAAAGTCAAAAATTCACTTCCAAAGATTACTGAGAACAACTGTGTTAAATGTCTATAACATTGAAGCCAACTACGTCGGAGAAAGTTGTATGTGAATGAATAGAAGTTATGCATAAAAATTATCCACTGAAGAATGAAAATGAAGTCGAAATTTTAGAAAAGTTATCTGTGACAACTATGCTTACAACTGTAAATGGATTTGTAATTAAGTGTAATAATCTAGATAAATCACTTTGAAGCTTGTTCTAGCAACTACATACATAACCAATTAAGTTTTATTATTTGTGAAAAAACTGGCTGAAAGTAGTTATTCCAGAAGTTGCTAAAGCGGTCATTAAAGTTACACATCTAAACTAATTTATCAGCAATGCGACTAATATAATTGCACCATATGACTGATATGGCTCTTACTGCAAAAAATAACTAACATTCTCACGTGATTATGACATCTACACGTCTCGCTATCTGAATATCGCTTAACTTATTATTATTACTTGTCCCTTGGGTTCTTAATGAAACATAGGGCTTCAGTAGCACGTCTCTAATGAGCTCTGTTCTCTGAAATCTTTTAAACCTGGCTCCACGACAGCCCACAAGCTCTTATTTCCTCCTCGCACCATCCCCTCCATGTAACCCTCGGACGCCCAACTCGTCGCTTCCCATCGGGGTTCCACTCGAGGGCCTGACGCGTGATGTCCTCAGTCGGCCTTCTCAGTGTATGCCCAATCCATCTCCACTTCCTCCTGCATATTTGTTGAGCGATAGCTTCTTGGTTGGTTCGTTACTTGGCCAGAGTTCCTTGTTGCTTAGTCTTTCTGGCCATCTGATCTTCAGTAGCGAGCGTAAGCAGTTGTTGATGAATGTCTGTAGTTTGTTGGAAATGTCTTTCGTAACGCGCCAAGTCTCTGAGTCATACAGAAGCATTGACTTGACGTTGGTGTTGAAAATCCGGATCTTGTTACACATGCTGAGTGCAGTCGATCTCCACACTGGTTTCAGGCTAATGAAGGCCTGTCTTGCTTTTCCGATTCTGACTGGCTTTGACATCCTCGTCTGTGCCACCTGTAGTTGAAACAGTGCTGCCTAGATCAGTGAAAGAGGATACTTCCTTTAAGTTTCTCCCGTTGATGGTGATTGGAGTTTGTTGTTGTTGTTGATGTTGTTGGTTGGTTATCTTCATCACCTCTGTCTTCTCTATATTCACTTGAAGTCCCGTCTTCACTGCCTCTTCTGTCAACTTGTTAGTTTTTGCCTGTAGATCTTCAAGTTTGTGTGACATCAGACACAAGTCATCCTTGGCGAAATCCAAATCTTCTAGGATCTTTTTCGCGGTCCAGCGTATCCCACTCTTCTTGCTCCTCACTGTTTACTGCATGATCCAGTCCACCATAATCAGGAAGATCATGGGTGATAGTAGACAGCCTTGTTTCACTCCTGTCTTTACTTCAAAAGCATCACTGAGCTGGGCTGTCCATTGTGAATTACTTGGCATGTGGCGTCTTCATATAGTTGTTGAATGAGGCTGATAATAGTTTGTGGCTTCCCATAGTGTTGAAGCAGTGTCCAAATTACTTGTCGGTCGACGCTGTTGAAAGCCTTTTCAAAGTCGATGAAGTTGAGGCAGAGAGCTGATTGCCATTCTATGCTCTGTTCTATGATGCGAAGCGTAGCGTTGCAATTTGATGCGCACATGATTTGTACTTCCTGAATCCAGCCAACCAGCCTGTTCCGGTCGTAGTTTTGAATCCAGTGCATCCCTTAGTCTCTCCAGGATGATGCGGCTTAATATTTTGCTTGCTTTGGGTGGACAGCAGCGTGATTCCGCGCCAGTTCTTGCATAGACTCAGCTTATGTTGTCCTTCTTCGGGAGTTTGACAAGGTAGCCCTTCTTCCAATCAATGGTAGGTACCATCCCTTCCTTCCAGACCTTCTGCAATAGTGGTGTGGTGTGAGCATGTCCGCTGTTGTCTCTGCATCTGTTCTCAGTGCTTCTGGCGGGATTATATCTGGTCCTGCTGCTTTCCCACATTTCAGTAGCTTTATGGAGCTCAGGACTTCGACTTTTGTTGGAGGAATCATGTTCACTTGTAGTTCTGTGGCTAAGGTGCTGGTGGTATTTCTGGACAAATTGCAGGTGGTGGTCTGTTCAAGAGCTTTTTGAAGTGGTCAGCCCATCAATTCCTTTGTTTCCTTTCTTTGATAATTAGCTTTCCTCCATCATCTTTTATTAGTTTCATCTGTGTTGATCTTTTCTGTCCCAGATAGTAACCTGGTTATTTGATACAATGTTGTCAGGTCTCTGTCTCTCTTACCAGCAGCCTATTCTGCTTCACTTGCCAGTGTTTCGTAGAAGTGTCCTTTGTCTTTGCGAGCACTCTTCTTCACTTCTTTGTCTAATGTAGTGTTTTATACATTCTACTCAGTTCCTCTTGTCGTTGAGCATCCTTGCACTGGTTTATCTTCTGCTTCACCATCCTCCTCTCCCTGCTCTATCAGCTTCCATGTATCCATCGAGATTCATTCCTTGTCTTCTTTCTTCTTCCTTCCTAATACGCTTGGTTATGCAGGTTTCTTTCCACATAGCTTTCAAAGAGTTCCAGTGTTCTTCCACATAGGTTTCTTCAGGGATGTTCCTCGATATCTCCCATTTTGTCTTGATGGCTGCCTTGGAGATCTCCTTTGTAGTTTCATCCTTCAGTTTCCGAGTGTTGTACTTGAATTGAGGTCTATCACCAGCTTCCTTGAAGGCTTTTAACTTGATTTGGAAGGTTCCTTGCACTAGATAGTGAGTAATGTGAACCTACATCTGCTCCTCTTCTTGACCTTGTGTCAAGTAGACTGCGTCTCCATTTTCTTCACACTGAGATAAAGTCGATCTGATTTTTAGTGTGTCCATCTGGTGAACTCGAATCCATGTCGCTTTGTGGATATCCCTGTGCCTGAACACACTGCCTCCAATCACCAAATCGTTGAATGTACAGAATTCTGCAAACAATTCTCCATTCTCGTTGATCACCTCACCGAGCGCTTCTCGACCCATGGTTAGTTCTCTTCCTGTGTTGTCCCCTCCCAGTTTGGCATTCATGTCACCCATTAGAATTTTGATATCACCAACTGAGGTCTTGCACAGTGTTGATTGCAGTTGTGTGAAGAATTCCTCCTTTTTCTCTTGCTCTGCATTATTTGTAGGTGCATAGTATTGGCATTGTATGATTGTGACCTTCCTTCCTTTTGAGTTGAATCCATCTTGCTGTCATGATCCAGCAGGAGGAGATTGGTTCCCACTGCATGAGAGCCTTCGATGCTGTTGGGGACATCATGATAACCACTCCATAACTCAGTGTGCTCATGGTTGTCGTCTGTGTGACAATATGGGAGTAGTTTATTGATTCTCCAGTTGACAGTTTAGAGAGTCCACTTCCATTCCATCTGCTTTTGCAAATTACTAACAATTCAGTGTGATACCTTCTCATCTCCTTGGCAATCTGGGCAGCCTTGCTAGGTTTAAATATTGTGCGGACACTCCATGTCCCCATGTTTACTTTCGCTTTCATCGAGAGAAGACACATTGGCCAATTGGCTTCGTGAAGGCTTTCACCAACCGACGTCATTTCGTCTTCCCGATTCCAGCGAGGACTAAGTTTTAACTTATGTTTTATATTTTCTTTGTGTTTTGAAGTTTCTTTGTCGGTTAGATTGGTTTTATGGGTTAGGTTTGCCAGCCCTATGCCCAACCTTTCCTCCTTACCCGGGCTTAGGACCGGCTAGTAACTAGTAAACTAGTTAACCAGGCGAGGTTGTCGCTTAACTTACCTAGGGTTTACCAGACTTATGAGTCACCAGCTGAACTGAGGACAAGACGAAATATTTGTAGCCCTTTCAATAAAAGTTTTTCTTTCCTCTTTCCATTTAATTTAACGCGATGCGTTTACCCACGTTAATAGCATATCCAGAGCACGACAAATGACAAAAATCGCAACACAGCCATAAAATAATGGCCGTGATTTACACTTAATTGACTATGACTTTTCAAAGAGACCGATCACTACGGTCTAAGCAATAACATCAAAAGTATATCCGTTGGACAAATGGTGGTTATGGTGACTCAGTGTCCTAGTGGCATTTGAAGCGATGGTCCTTGGGTCCGAGTCCATGCGGGAACAACGTAACCCACTGGGAAGCAAGGTACATCTAGCTGGAGAGTCCCAATTAAGACAAAACGTTCTTCCTGGACCTCATTGTTAACCAGTAGCCATTATTACTATCATATATGAAATAACGATCAAAATGGAAAGCTTGTAAAAACAACTATAAAATAACATAAGAGTAAAACTTTCGTACTGTGGTATGTTTATATAAAATAAGTTGTCTCTGAAATGTAACCTAATGAATAATCCTATTTCACTGTGTGATATATCTAATAAATCACCTGAAGTGTTTGTGATAGAATAATACTGTAAACTGCCTTTAAAAATAAATACAGTAGTAATTTTTAAATTAATCCTGAATCTTGTCTAGCCTGTACGCTACAATAGTGAGCGGGAAACTTCATGCTATAACATCAAATACCATAATTATTTAACATATATATTTGACTAAATTGCACATCCTTTTTTCTTAAGTTTGTTATCCGATAAAGGAAACGGTTTCTATTTGCATAAAGAAATAATGGCTACATATTCTGTCTATGTGTAACGCAATAGACAAAATAGAAGGAATAAACTTGTCGCTTATATTGTAAACTCTCATTAAAGGAAATCACCAAAAAGGCTAAGTTCAGATTCACTCTTTAAATAGTCTCATTTAATAATAGTTCACATATATCTTCAAGTTCATGAAACAAGTCTATCTCACTATTATGCAGTGTACTAAATAACACTTACACAAGTATAAGTACAGGCTGACAGTATGTATTTCTGATGACAACTATATGATGAACGTGTAATAACTAATGATATTAGTTTGAATGAAAATTAGCTGAACTAATGATGTATGAAAAAATTCATTTTAGTGTCTGATGGTGTAAGTCAATCGGTAAGAAACCCTACTTGATCTCAGTTTCCTGCTTGTTGACACGCATCAGCAATGTGTATCTGTTACCATGGGGAAATTGGTGTTTCTTTGATGATTCTAATCTACGTCACTCAATACTAAAGTCGGACGCCTGATCATCCAGCTATTTAGGCTACAACTGACCCCTTGTAGTGTACATTATTTATTGGTCACTAGTGAATAGTCGATGTCACTTTAATTCTTACTACGTAACACTGGTTAGAGACTGTAGATCATCTATTGTACTATTTAACTATATGGTTTAGTCATTCAAATTAAGCTACCTTTTTAACAAAATCTCAGTATTTCTGATGAAGAAGTTATGACGTATACTGCAAAGCATTCGGAAAACTTTTGTTTTGATTTTGTAAATACTAGTTTGAAGATCTGATTCCTAATATTCCTTCTTCATCTGTAATATGAAACCTTGTTACCGATATTGAATTTTAACATTTAATGTGTTTACATACCGACATCATTTTCAAGATTGCTGAAGTTTCATCTCTTTCAGCGTAAATGTTCGAATCCATCACCTATGTTTCACATTCTTCCTAGGAAGTAAACTTTATCCACACTATGTGCTGCAGGCTTATCATGTATCATCTCTTCAACTACGACATTTTTATATTCTTTCACGATAGAAATCCCCTTGGATCCAACAATTACTTCCATAACTTCTTCGGGCTCTGCAGTTACAAATCCATGAGAATAGGTGAAATACAATAGCTAAAGTAAGGCATAATGCTAAATTATTTCAATATCGAAACAGTCAGTTTCACCCGTAAATACAGGTCTAATCAAATAAATGAAGGTTTCTATCAGGTGCCATGGAAATAAGTTTACTGAGTCAGATGGGAATTGAAATCAAAATACGAAATAAAGAGAAAACAATCAAGACACAATGATTCATCAATGTACATCTATCTGGGGCATGAATATGTCTGTGTGTCTCTTTAGTAATAACGGTCAAATAATCATTACATAGCCATGAATTATGTTCAAGAAGCGTGAAAAATCATGTGAATTCAATCAAGAATTAACGAATAACAAATGTCGAGGGTCATGTAACAATTGAAAACGACTGCTGGTAATGGCGCAAATAAGCAAGGGCATAAAAGTAATAACACAAGAAAAAATCAATAAAATGAGAAAAGTACAGAAGCAGAATGAAGGAATGGGAGGTTAAAATGTGGAATTTGTGGTAGAAAAGTTCATAAAGAACGTGTTGACCCTATCATAGACTAAGGTAGACCAAATGGATGTAGATGTTTCTTTTGAACATATAGATCAGGTATTTTTGCGTTGATACCTATGGCTCCGGTAGGCTATGGATAAGAGGCGTAGTGGCTTCCGTTTGGGGAGATTGCTAGGGACACGCTATATCACACAAAAAATGTGAACTACTCTGATTTGACGTCCGGTATCTATTGAATGCTAAAGGACTACACTGTTGATGCACTTTGTCATGCCTTTACCTAACTAAACTCTTACATGTTTACGAGCGCGCATCGATAAAGCCATTTGAGTACGGTCTATGTAACTATCTCCAAAGGAGCAGTTGAACTCATAAATGCATATTTAAGTGGCCATCATTGGTTCACTGTGTCAGTAACGATTTTATTGAGAAACTGACAAAATGTTTCGCTGCAGTGAATGTCCTGTGGAACTGATCTATTCAATCGGCGTGTTATGATATCAGAGGAAATATCACCTCTGCAACTTAATCTATGATATGAAGGTATTTTATCAACATTATCCTTCTTTACCATCTCTCTCTCCCTAGGTCTCAATATGTATTTATAGATGAGGATTAGTGGATAACCATTTTGCTGCAATGTTATCTTCAACTTATTCATTCCTTCATCAATACAGTCATCAGAATATGTATTTCTTATTCTGTAGTCCTATTCACGGTGAGCGTGTCAACCATTCAGCTACTGGGTGGGAATTCTTTTGGTCCATAGTTTTCTACTTCTGTTTATTGGTAATACAGCGTGACTATCGTCAATGGTCTTCAGTTGTGGGCCGCTTCACTTCTTATAGGTTGACTGCACAAGTCACGAGTTCTCACTGGAGCTTCGGGATATGCATTTTGAAGCATGTCACTAATGGGCACTATGGATTTTGAGGTTAACTGGTGTTATTATTTCAGTTCGTGATGAATGCTATCTTTAGCGTAAAAATGAAGCCTGCACTAACCTCAAAATGCACTATTTGTTTTGATAGTTATGATAAATATTGATGAGCAATGGAATCGACAATGCGCGTTTTATACTACTTGAACTAGTTAGTTACCTTCGAGGGAGTTGTAGTTCGCGCACTCAAACTTCTTTGTTACTGGTACTTTACCCATTTGTAGCGACGTTATTAGCTTGATAGCGCAATCATCAGGTTTCATTACTAAGCCGAAATGACTGAAACACCTCATAATCGTTCCACGTGTTTTTGAGTGAATTTATGAACAGTATATCTGCATTCATGAAGATTGTTATATTGCATCTGACACCAAAAAAGTGATATTGACGTTGACAGTATATAAATTTTCCTTATGGATTTCAGATTTAACAGAGGTGCATTGCTAAATGTAGGAGCACTTGAATCTCTTCAATCTGAAGTAAATGGAGTTATTGTTGAAAGTATCGTTGAAAAGAATTCAGTATATCAGTCTTCTTCCCGGTGTTTAAAGCTTCCGTACACAAATTATTTAGCTTTACATGATGTTGACCTCTTACCAATGGATCCAGAATTGAAATACAACATGCCACCAGAGTATGGACCAGTTCATCTAATTCCATCTTATCTTCATCCACGTTATCACTTCTTTGAACAATATGCTGGTGGTGTGTTAATTATCAGAAGAAGCCATTACAGTTTAGTTGGTGGAATGTCAAATTCATTTTGGGGGTGGGGTCGAGAAGATGATGAATTTCGTATACGACTAAAGTTAAAACAACTGAAGGTAAGTATTGAATTAAGAATGCTGTTAATAATGATTTTATTGAATTCACGAACTGAAACATATTTAACTTGAAGTATGAAATTGTAGTGACTCTCTAAGTTTAGCATCAGAACCTAACTTATTTCTTTGCATGATTGCATCCGAATAAGAACATACTTTCGGTACATATGTACTTATTAACAATATGTTTATTGTATGGTCTACGTTTATGATAGGATAGGAATTTATTTTCTATGCAGATTAAAAGTTATTATGTTTCATGAAGGTGTTTGTAGGTCACTGTTTGTTCCTTAAGTGGTAGAACCAAGGCACTACTGAGGATTAATCTGTTAGGATACAGATTTCTTTGACGATGCACTGATCCCATTCGATAGAATCTTACCGATATAATCACGCAGTTAAATAAGATACAGAGGTCAGAAATATACTGCATAAGGTTTTAAGAAACTATTAAGATTGTTGTTTAACACTTTTCAGGTTGGATAGTTGTTGAGGTAGTATAGATAAAATGTGGTCCCCGAAAATTGTCATCCGTTTTTTGACAGTGCATATAAACACACTAAACCATTTGGGATACTGCATTTAGGATCTTTCTCTACTGTCAGTTTAATGGAGGGAAATTGCATCCTTGTTGGCACTCTATAGTCATTGCAGATAGTAACCTACATTTTTTAAATCTACTCTTTCTAATGGTGATTACATTTTCAGTAAGGAGTACGGTATTATGCAGATTGTTTTACTGGTTGATTATTTTCATTCTGTCATGGAGTTACTTTCAGCTAACTGAAGAATATTTGCCTATATCTTTTCGTTGGGATCCCCTTTTATGGTGGTATCAAATAACGGTAGACGTTTCAATGCACACATACAGTGTTTGCCTTGTGATAGGTAGTGGGGATTGAAGGTTAAGTAAAACGTGAGTTGTGGCAGTATTCTAGTAGGTGACATTTGAACTATCCGGCTGGTTCTCCAATGTCTGAACTGGGAGACTCAGATGCTGATCAGGTCCTAGTTTTTTTCAGTCACTAAGAGCATTACCTTTGATTACGAAAGGAAACAACCAATCACACACAAACCAGTTCGTCAGGGCAAACTACTAAATCAGTCACGGAGAAATGTTGACAACTCACTTCATAATGAAGTTAGTGCTGAAGATGTCGTCTAGAAAGACGATGAAAGCTCCACGACTAAATAACTTAGCTCAGAGAACACAAGCCAACCAAAACCATCCACCTGAGCTACAATTATTCTTCACCACTGAAGATCTTATTTGGCAAATAATATTAGTTTTATATAATGATGATGGATAGTGGCTAGCAGTAGAATCCAGGACACGCGTTACGTCCCATTTGGGACTCACCAACTAGATGTAACTCTCAGTGAGTGATGTTGTTCCTACCGGGACTTGAACTGGGGATCAATCGCTTCAAACGCCAGAGCGTTATCCACTGAACCACCGAGCCACGTTAGCCACTGCTTATGCGACAGGTAAAGTTTTAGTGTTATTGGTTGTATTATCCTGTCGGTCCCGAGACATCCGCGCAGGAGCCTATATGCCAATAGAGACCGATCAATTCGGTCCAATCAACGACGGGATAATACAAGCAATAACACTAATATTGGTTTTGATTGAGTTTCAATCAGATACCTGTTTTTATTGGAAAATCGAAATATCCATTAGAGATGTAGGTACTTAACTGATGAACAGTGGGTTATAAGTCCGAACCCACTCTACAAGCATTAGTGTATGGTATGGAATGACATAATTACACTGTACGCATTAAGTGAACACATATATGACTACTCAGTTGTACCATTCAAGTCTATTGTCAACTACTTAAAAATTACCATACGCATTTTGAATTTGATGTGTTCTTTTATTTAACTTGATAGGTTTCAACTCCAACTAATGTGACTATGGGATTCAAAGCTTTTCGTCATATCCACCAAGAAAATCAGCATAAACGAGACTCTAAAACGTATTATAGTGCTGATGTTGTAAGTTTTACAGTGTTAACTATATCAGTGGGTACTTACGTTTTAGTATTCTATGATTTCCATTAGTTCTAAGTAGCATGGAAATGCGCTTGAGAATTTAATAACCAATCAGTGTCAACACTCATTATGTTTTGGTAAAAAGACGTTCTACCGAACACCATCTGCACATTTCCAACCTTTTAAAGTTAGGTTCATCAACGATATACACCAGCAAATATTTTCCGACCGTCTTATCTGTCTATCCTTATTTTGAGCTGTTTATTATGTTCAGCAGTATGTTTCAATAGCGCATAATGCTTATGTATCAGAGATTACAAATTTTGACTTTATTTAGATTGTCTCTGACAAAAGACTTATTGATGTAACAGTTGGATAGATGAAAAACTACTTTTTTGTGAAAAATGTCGGTTTAGATCACCGAGCAGTTTAAGAAATCATTCATCCGTTTTAAATGTAGTTTAGTTTAAATAACTTGTTATTATCTCCGTATGTCTCTATGATTCCGTAGTAGACATAATAAATAAGTATGTGGTTTTATCTTCATTCACTAAGGAAAATTTGAGTTGTTACATCTAGCGGGCATGAGCATAACACGTTAGTCGCTGTTTGAAAATGAGAGAATCGTCAAGTGACTTAAATGAAGACAGTTTTTATAGCAGATAACCAACTTCTTGTATTCAATTTACTCGATGAAGTTTTCGTTTTCTGTAGAAGTTCCAAAACTCATGTGTTTCACACTGGACAAAGATAAACATTATTAGTCACTTGTGAAAGTAAAAAGTTATCAAGGAGTTTGTATTCTACAAAATTCACCTTCAAACCCAGGATGACAGGTTTCAGTCTAAATCATATAGAGGTCTATTTCGGATTTTGATAAAAAACTTTCAAGAGTTTTTGTTTTCCTATTCATTCTTTTAAAAGGGATATCTGATTTAAGCCTAACTAGTTGAATCTTTTGTAGACCAGTTAATATTATCTTAGTAACTCTTTACTATATTGACTTGTACTCAACTAATTGGTTTTTAGAGTATAGATCTATTGCCACTACTTTCATCTAGACGTTAACATGTCATTATCTCTTGGCGCACAATTAATCCAAGTCAAAGTTTTGCCCATGGTCATGATTGTGGTTACTTAGCCATCACAGTTATTACATGATCACATAATTGTCATTACATACTAAATATTAAATACATCTTGCTTCGTTGAAAGAACATAGTTCAGCTTTTTTGTAAATGTGCACACTTTGTTGGTAATTATAGTAAAACTTGTCATTCTCACTGGGTTTTATACTCAATTTCAATCGTGCTGGATTCAATATCAATTTATTTTGTTTCATTTCCTTCACTTTTACCCATTTTAACAATGGGATACATTAAGTTAAAATTCTGTGTACACTTTGTTTCAGATCAGGTTAATTCGTAATCCCATCGGTGGTCTGACTACACTAAATTATACAGTTGTAAGTAGGCGTCTATTAACAATCAGTGGTATACCAGCTCTTCTAATCAATGTAAAGTTGTCCTGTGATTCAAAACATTGTAAATCGACTGCTTAATACAATCATGTCATAGTGTATACTTAAATGGTTTTCGTATTTATCCTTCTCTTTGTATATAAAGTTAATTAACATTTCCACTTACATTCACATAAATGATACTCTTTTAATCAGTATACTTTTTTTCCTAAGAATTAAGCACTTCTTAATTACTCATTGCTAGTAGGTAATAAAGGGTGTATAGGCATTATCATTTCACAGGAGGGGGGTTGTTTAGTGGAGGCCATGTGACAATTGTTGGAGCGATGATAGATAACGTGCACTAAATTTATATGTAAAGAGAGATACTACATTAACTGATTATTGAATTGTAGCCAATTTTATGCTCCTTAGTTCAAATTGTTGATTCAAGCCTATCAATGACTTTGTAGTATAGTCACCAAGCTAGGAGATTTAGCATCACAGTGTACTTGATAATCGATGTTAGATGGTTGGAAGCAGTCGACAGGAAACTCTACACTCAAGTTTCGCGCTTGTTAACACTCGTTACCAAGGCAGATCTGTAAACTTTAGCGAACTGATGTCTTCTCAGATATAAGAATCCGCATCACCCAGTCCTGCAGTTAGTCCTAGCGTATCTGAATGAATCATTGAGGGATTACTGATAGTTAGTCGAACAAAAAGGTTTCATGTTGTGGTATTTGACTGTCCTCTGATATTTTCGAATATTTTGTTATTCTTTGGGTGGACCATTCGACATAATGGTAGTCATATCAAAGGAAATTACTTTCTCTTAATAGGTCAGTTGCTCAGCCTCAATGTAAGTTTGTAAACTAAGTAAATTAGGTTGAATGTAAGTGACTATATATGTGTGTGACCGAAGTTTGAAAGTTGATGCATCATATACCTCAGCTGTGTGCATTAGTTTTTATCAGTAAGGTGTGTCAACAGAAGTAGAGGAACTATCTCCTTTCTTTTTAATAACGTATCGACAAGGATTACATGTAACAGGATGGCGACTCATATTGTGATTGTTTTGATTATCATGAGAGATTTACAATAATGATCTACAATTTATAGATCCTTTGTCGGGAATGTTCAGTAAAACGTTTAATTGGAATTGAAGACTGTTTTGTACAGTTCTAATGCTGGTATTGAGAAAAAAATCAGAACGTGCATGCAATGCTTGACCTATGAATGCATTGTTCGACCTCAGAAGAGTATTTGAACGGCTTATTTTCACAATCACTAGTGAAAAATGCTACCGAGCAAGTTGGGTTAACCACATAAGTTACAGAATGTTTATCTGACAATAGGTCGCTATATCAGAATGGATAACAAATTTCAATGTGTCGAAGAATATGTATCTAGTTTGTTGCAGTTAAGTCTGAAATTCAGTCAAGCTTCTTATCGAGGGTTGTTCAACAACTTTGCAACAGCTTAATCATTTAGTTATCCAAAATACTACAACTGAATAAGAGATCATAAATAAATTTTACCGAATGTTATAAACATATATTTATTTTTATCGACTTAAAAGGATCAAGAAAAACGTTACAGTCGAATAATATGGATCTAGTTTATGATTTCATCGGTTGTCTTCAGCTATATACAACGTATATTGCTTAAGACAATAAATCACAACAGGTTTTTGACATACTTTTGTTCTATGAGATTAGTCAGTCAGAACAGGATAAGGCTATAGGGAACTATATGATTTGAAATGAAGTCAAAATATCATACCGCAATTTCACAAATACATACATTACAATGAAGGTTTGCTCTAAAATTAGATAGGGGTAGCAAAAGGAAATTGAAAAGGAGACTGCGTAAGTTGATCAATGGGTGAGTTAGTAGTAATCACAAAACATAATGTAATAAAATACAATGAGTAGAACTCAAAAAAATAAGACTTAGTATGAACTAAACGTATAACTAATGGATAATAATATAGTAAGTTCAAGGTCAAGCATATAAGTTACTCGCGATACTGAAGACAGATTCCTTTTGAACACAACTAGTTTCAGGCATTTGACTTCAGTAGCTACAGTAGACCAAAATAGTTTTTGAATTATTCTGTTTGCTGACTATTTTGAACATCCTTAAAGTATCCGCTTAAGTGTACGATTGAGGCAACTTATTCATTAGTGCTCATGAATAGAATATCTGTCCAGTAAGCTGTGTAATAATGCAGAGTTACATCCAGGATGATCATATCTTTTACTAATGCTAAATACTATAACCTCGAGCAAAATTAAGCTGAATAGTGAGCTGACAAGGAGACTGCTAAACAATAAGTATTGCATTTTTAGGAACACCGATATTTGCCACTTTTTCTGAACTTGAGGAACAAGATCACTGCAAATTTCGGTAAGTTGAACAGTCACGAAACCATCATATGAATCAGTAATGTTTACTTTACTATTGTGAGCTTACAGCCTCGCAAAAACCAGTTACCAGGACAAAACGTTTCTTACTACTTTATAACACTTATTCTAATGTGTTTCATTTTATATTCATCATACAGGTGTGGTTCTGAGTAGTGAGGGGAAACTTAGAAATCAGTTAGAATCAAAGAATTTAGCAAAGAAATTTTTCTAGTGGGGATGATGTCTTCGCAACGGAAGTAATCATTTTCAATACAGTCAGAAAAATATTGACTCAAAAAGGAATTATAAGGTGTCGCTCATCTGTATAAGTTATCAGGAAGATCGTTTAAGTACGAGGATTACAACACTGATAATATATTGAATATTGCTAATATTGTGAAAAGTTTCTTCACATCGTTACTTCGGCTATAATTTCGACATGCAAATGTTTCTCAGTGAAATGATGCTAAGTAAGTGAGATTGGCCTTAACTAGTCAGTGACTGAATAAATCTCTACACGAAGACGAAAACTCAAATGGCTTTTACCAACTTACGTTATCTTCGGCGATGGCGTGAAATCTAACTGTTCGCTGAGGATTGAGTGATCTACTCAACAGTTATTTCTGGTGTGATATAAGCAGCAAAACGTGGCTATTGTGAAGGTGGGGGATGCATTAAAGCTCGAAGTGTTAACCCACTGTCACGCTGATAGCATTTCTTGTGCTTTGTAAGAACTTCACAGTGTAGTGTATAGGCTGTGTGGAATCTTAAATGAAAAAGGAAAGCCAGTTATTGAGGTTGTTAAATGTCATTCGGATGGATAAGAACAGTTAATCATGACCCCAAGTGATGGAGAAAATTGAATTAGTTTGGGTACAAGTCGAGAGCGATCATTGGTGGCATCAGGTCATGGATTCTCTAATTTTTGTTCCCACCCAGTGAGGTACAAGTTTCTGGGTTTTCATACTGAAATAGACGGTTGAAGACTAGCTGAGGTGGCTGAAAATTGCTCTACCCTACTTATTTTATTTTGATATCTTTGTATGAGGTTGGACTATGTCCCTTCCTTCACCCTGTCTTTCCTTCTGACGTCATCCTGATGGTATGTTTATGTGGGTTGTGGCGACTCGGAAAATTATGCTATAATTCCAGGTCCCATATTGATGTGAACCTGACCTGACGTTTACTTGCTAGAGAAAAATAGAATAAACGCAGCAAAGTGTCATCAAAGACGGAATAGGCAAGAGAAATACATGTTGAATTCAGTTTTTTAGATTTGCCTCAATAGCCGGAGAAACAGTTAATTTTATCTGCATAAAATGTACACATTAAGAAAATCGAGTATGTGATCAACATAGGCGTAGAAGGTGGACACTGAAGTAGATTCTAAATCTGTTTGGTTTATTTATCAGCAGTGTCACAGTAAGACGGTTGGATTACTTTTTGGACATAACTTATTGTCCCAGGTAACTATACGATATTGAGATAAAGCTTATGTAGTTCTAATTATCTCTTCTCATAACAGTTTGCCCAACATTTTCAGTGTACCAGTTATTATTTTTATTCTATCATATTGTTTGTAAAGGTGGTCTACTACTAAATGCTAAACATTTGGAAATAACGTAAAAATGATTGACTTATTGAGAAAACTGATAACTTCTGAAACTGTGTTTAACAAGATGAAAATCCTTTATTTGAAATGTGAACCATTAATCCGGGGACTACCGCTTTTAATTCATCCATAGCATATGTTTTCGCTTCAATTTCAACCCCTAACTTATTACTTGAAAACTGGGCTGCCAAACCATGGTTGCATTGGATAGTCTTATATTCAACAGTATATCAATGATAAAAAAGATAATAATGTTGTCATGCTTATTCCAATAACCATCCAATGAGAACCATCAGTCTATTCCTGAAAGCACGTTTATCTAGGTCTGTTCTGAATGATTAGAGTATTCTTCTAACGTGATTACATCCCAGTCAAGTTTACAAATCATAGCAGTGTTATTCAGGATACTGTTCGTCACACAAGAAATAGATATATATCAGATTATTTTGCGTTACTAGCACTTGTATCATAGTTGAAGGACTCGCTTCTGGATTCTATGGTGAACTTATTGGCTTTTATTAAACTGCCTTCATTTTATTTGTTTATATTCTGAGTTTGAATTGGAATACTTACTTGAGACGTATTTTTATTTACATTTCATCTTACTACTGTTACCCCTCAGAAGTAGTTAAATACTAAACTGATATGTTTTCCACTTGAAGCGGCAAAAGGGCTTCGTTGACTATCAGTCACTATGGCAACTGATGTTGAAATCAGTCAGATTTCTATAGGCTGATTCATCGAATGATAAATCTGTTGTTATTGCTGATGGATTTTAGGAATAGCTTTCAGAATTCCTAGTGGAAATTTCAAGCTTATTGACAGTTTCAAGAAACATCAATCGATGAAGTTATGCATTAGCCTCAGATAAATGAGTAAGTTTGATGACGTTTGTTCTGCGTCTATTTCTTCCTTCAAAGAGATATGTGATACTAAGAGATGCATCTCTACGACGCTATATCACACTTTACACATATCATCTGAATCATCAAATTTCCCTGGTATCATGCATGAAAGGAAAACCTCGTTCACACTGCTCAGAAGAAAACAGAAGCTCTTTGCGGTATGCTGTGGAGGTAAATACTGTAACTGACTTGAAAATGGATGTCACTCATTATATTTTCTAGAGCTTCACGTTGAAAACGAGTCATACAATAAAGCGCTTTAAGTGAAACTTTACAGTTATAAAGTAATTTTATCGTTTTCTTACTGTTACTGAATTTTGTCGACTATAAGCACTCCTTTTTGTTCACATCCTTTAATATAAGACATTTTAAGAATGGTAGATATTTACTGTGGTTCCTGACAACCTGATCCAGTACTGAGTAATGGGAAATAAATATTCAGTAATGAGAAAAGTTCACTGAAGTCATTAATTTGAATTTATTTCTATCTAAATAGGACGGTATAACTGTAGAAAGATCAGAGTATGATTATATTGATCTTGGTGACTAGCGGTTAAATCTAGAGTGTGAGTTTCGTTCTGTTTGGGACTCGTCAACTGGATGTACCTGTACGCCAGTGAGTGACGTTGTTCCCACTGAAACTCGTACCCAGTATCTATTGCTTTAAATGTGAAAGTGCCATCCACTAGATCACAAATAATTATATTACTTAACTCGGTCGTGTTACTCTACATTTTATTCCTATGGACTGCATTTATAAATCGTACTCAAGCTTGAGATTACTACCTATCTATGCAATTAAGTTAGAGCACATGAAATGAAGCAAATCCACTTCATCTCACAATGTTCGTTGTTCTATATTGCATTGTTTATCTGATATGACATTCAGTGATGCAGTATTATTCGCTGGATGACGTTTCGAGCAGATATTTATTGCTCATATTCACTGATATAAATGTGAGCAAATAATTCTGCTTGAAACACTATCCAGTAAATGATACTGCATCATTGTGTGCCACATCAATAAACAGTATAATATGTAATCATACTATACCACAATGACTAAATTGTTCTTTCATATTAATGTTTGTTGTTCTTGACTAACTAGAATTTGGATTTCGCAGCGAATCGTGTCTTATTTGAATGCTTTCTAATCATCCTAGAATACATAACTGAGTCTGTCTTCTCTGTAGTTTTGAGTGAAGTTATTCGAGTCAAAGTTGTCACTGATATCACCATTTTCTCTCTTTCAGTGAATGAGGAGTTTGCTTGGATTTATTCACTTTGTCATATGTTTGATTCAGCATGGACAAGTGAACTTTTTAAAAGGTGTTGTGTTTATTTTTGTTTGATTTACACATTAAACTATTAATTGAATACATATCCCTTCGCTAGATATTCAGTACACTGACTCGTTTCACAGCTTGACACAAGACTATAATACGCTTACGCATTCGGCAGTTACTTGGGGTAGCTGTGTGTGATTCTGTTGTTAAATGTGATGCAGACAGTAAGTTACTGCTGAAAACTCATATAATAAAGTGTCAGTTCATTTGAAACAATTATCTCCCTTCACAAACCTTGACAATGAAGTAAGAAGACGTGATTTGTTTGAATCATGCATTGTTAGTTCGGCCTTCAGTTTATCCTTACAATTCTACTTCTCTTCATACTCTCATCCTTTATCCCTTGATGATCTTCCACGCAAATACTTATGGCAAGTACGTGAATAATCTAATTGTTCGAAATGTGTTGCACAGATAGACACATTGAACGATTCAGGTATATTACATCTCCTTATTTGAATGTCGACAGTTCCCATCTTTATTCTTCAGAAGAATAGAGCGTGTTTGAAATTTCTAAAGGAGTAAATTATACCGGGTGTTTAGAGTCATCGACAGCTTTACGTTGCGAAGTTCTACCTGGTGATTTGTGCAAAACACCAAGACATCAACCTAGTGATTTAACAGTTACAATAACCGGACTGGATACAGGTTTAGGAGTTTTCATCATTGGTGGAACTAAATATGTTAATGGTAGGACTACAGAGTTTTGACGTCATTCAACGACTCATAAGTCACCTTAAAGTGACCATTTGTGTTGAAGGTAACTGTGTGGTCATTCTAGGAAACTTTGTATCATTGAAAGAACGATACTGAGTATAGATAGATTCATGCACAATATTGTAATTAATTACGGTTAAAATGGGGGTTGAAAGTTAGATATCTAAAGCAACTCGCCACAGTTATACTAAAAGGTCAAGCCGAATTCATCATCATTCATGACTGAAAATTGCAAAGACTTTTCTAAAGAAAATAAAAAAACTGCTTAGACAAAACTTATGGAAATGCTTGTAAAATGTTCCTTCATTAGTGTTTTTTATCAAAATGAAATCAACCGGATATCTAAATTAGAGGAGTATTATAGTTAGTTATAATGAAGTAATCAGTTTACAATTAGACGGTGAAAACAGTGTGACAGACAGAAAGCTTTCAGTATTATCAGAAAGTATGCGACCTCAAGATCTCTAAGATACTGATAAAATCATGTGAGGAAACCGCCTAATTAACAAGTATTTTTTTTTACAAGAAAAGCATGAATATCGTGTGCCAATACTTTGACATAATTTGTGTTTTGAGAGAATTCAGACAGTATCAACTCACTAGCAAACTAACAAGTACAATCTCATTGCAACAAAAGTTTCATACCATCAACTTGATAATGATAGTAGGAGCAGCTTTACATGAAAATTTCTACGGAACATTGAGGAAACGAATATAAGGGCAAGAATTAGATTAGACAACATTGTACAGTTATTAAGTTGGGGTGAAGTTCATTGTCACTAATAAGCACATTATAACACAATAGTTACAACGGCAAATAAGCATATCAGTGGATTTCTCTACATAAAAATTAAAAATATAGGAATTACGGGGACGTGAGTGACAATGAGAAGAAACTTGTCAATGTTTAAAACCGTTTACGTAAAAATAAGTTACCTCATAAATCCTCAGTAAATGTTTAAAAGCACAAAGTGAAGACAGGTTGTTGATTTCATATTTTCTCAGTTGTATCTAAAAGAATCACCTAAAGAGTATATGATTGACTAAAGTACAATTCTTATGTTAAGTAAGTTGGTCATTAGATACTCAACAAGATCCATTGCGTGTCATATCTTACTAAATCTGTCAATACATACATGCACCAGAGTACTGAGATTTTATGAGTGGATAGAAAATTCCACCCAAAAAGTATTTGATTATACTCCAGAATATTTCACTGAAACATGCAGATACCTTTAAAAATTTGAAATTTCTCACCACCTGTTTAATAGTCCTCATTATGTTGAAGTCTTAAAAATGAGTAGAAGTAATTAATTAATGACAGAAATCAAATGAAATGCTGATCATCAACGGAATCTATGAATACAAGAATAAAGCAACTAGTAAAATTTAAAGAAAAATAAACTTTAAATCCATATTATATGGAATAATTCGTCATGTTTGGGTTCCAACTGATGTATGTTTTTCGTTATCCATCAGTCGTCCTTTCAAATTAGTAGTAACAGTTTACTGAAATCATATTCTGCAGTAGCATTTGATACTATATGTAAATCAGTGACGAACTAATACAAAGAAATAGATATTACCTGAAACAACACCAAAATTAAAGGATACGAAGCGTTAAAGACTGATTTACCTGTATAGTATCAAGGGTAAATGATTACTGAATCCAAACATCGAGGAAACTGTAAACCCTCTACTACACATTATCACTAAGATGCACTAACTCAAGTAATATGTCAAGATAAACAGTAGGTTTCGGAGTAGTGACAAATGACTCAAGAACCCCTTGTTAATGATAAGGTGTACAATGGAGTCATGTTGACCGTAGGTCAATCGTTTAACACAAGATTGTCAACATCCATTGCATCTGAAAATGCAATAATGCTCTACTTTATACTCTTTTTTATCAGTCAAGCCTTTAGTCAAATCATATTGTAACCTGTATTTAGACCTCGAGCACACACAAGAATAAAATGTGTGTATATGTGCTGTAAAATCATCGTAAAGCTTAATATGTTGCACAGAAATGAGGATAAACAGCTCTTGGACTACTCAAATTACAGAAAGCTTATTAACAAACTTAATTTATATTCCTGAATTCCTTCTAAATGTAAGGCTTCATTTATTGAATTCCGATAGCCCACCACTATCCTGATGTAGAGAAAATAATGAAAATCGCTTTGAATAAGTATTATAAGGCAGTAGGAGGAAATACAGAAGCAACAACAGCCTGGAAAGGTAAATATAAAAAGGTGCTCAAAATTTTTCTAGAATAGCAGATAATCAATTTGATATCAGTGCTACAACTCTGTATACTAAATTGTTCAGCTCAAATAACTGTAAACATGGATTTCTCTTATGATAAACTTCAGAAAAACATCTTTAATTTGGCGTTTTTCAAAACATTTTGGGTTATGCTAGTTTGTATCATCTCTTTTAGATAGTAAAGAAGGTATTGCAAATGTTTCCCAAAGTGAGCGTAACTAGGAGTATATTTTATAGAAGAATGTGTTACAGTGGACAGGCTGTAGCTGATTGAAACTATTCACTCTAAATACTTAAACAAACATGGAATCTATTGTATGTATCTCTTCTAAACTGTGAAATTAGAATTATCCAAATAAGTCGTGCTTCCTATGCTCGGATTTATTTCACTGTGAATAAACAACAACTGTTCTATAACGTATATCATTTCACATATAGCAAAATGGAAAACAGAACGTCGAAGCAATTCAAAGTCAGAAAAACGCCAGTATTCATTCTTTCTAATTTCAGAAGTGATGATATTTCAGAAACTGTCAGCAGACGATTGATGACATCACCAGTTCAAAGTTTCACAGCAGCCAGGTCAATTCCTATGTATCAAACAATGTGCTTTTAAGTTTCCATGTTACCTCCCATTGTGCATATCAGTTTATGCTTGCACTACCGAAGTGGACACATTGGAAACACCGTGAGAAAGGCTCATCCTAGGTTTTCCTAACACATTTTGAGGAGCCTACAGCTGAGGGGAAGTAACAGTTTGTACAGTGCAATCATTCAGCATTTAATTGACACTGAACATCAAGCATGCACCTTCAGTTTTTTCAAGATAATAAGCAAAGGTAGGAGCTCAATTCTGATGAAGTTCTCTAAAACTATATCCATTAAATACCTCAAACGCGAAAGAAGTTGTAGTGCACCTTCCTGGCACCAAAATATAACTAGGGCTAAAATAAATAGTTTAAATTAAATTAACTAAATAAATCTCTAGCTTGCCTCCGGATGCTTAGGGTGTTTTAAGTTTTGTTTTAACGAGCATGCATCCGAGCAGGCTTGGACGCCATTTTGCGCTCCATTGTGCTGATTACCACGCACGTACTCCGAGTCCCTAGTTCAGCCTTACAAGCCAGATAAGTTGATTAAACTTTTCCCTCATTCATTATTATTACATTTACTTTAATAAATACATAGCTCCTTTAAATACATTGCGTATCAGTTCTTTTGATTTGTGTTTTGTTATCAGTACTTACACGTTAGGTAAAGTACTGGTTAAGCAGGTACTAGAGCACATCAAATTAAGTAGGGTTGATCAAACGTTACGGAATTGTAACACGCATCCCTACAAAATTGGTGAGCCCGAGTATCACTTCTTACTTTGTCTAGTACCTTTGTTCTCTTGCGTTGATTTGTCTGGCCTATTTTGTTTTTGGCACGGTCTTGTGTTTTTTTAATTGCACTCCTCATTGGTTATTTTTGCATTGTAATTTTTTTTATTATCACTATCGTGCCTCGTTAATTCCCTGATCAATGGCGGATAACGACTCGACTGCGCAGATGGCCGTAACCCTCCAGCTTCCCACCTTCTGGGCCCACAGACCATCTGCATGGTTCTCCCATGTGGAAGCTCAGTTTGCCTTGAGACACATTCAATCACAAGAAACTAAGTCCAACTTAGTCATCGTCAGCTTACCGGAAAATGTGATCGAAGACGTCTCAGATGTGCTAGATGACCCAGCACCGAATCTTTACGATCGCCTCAAAACCGCCCTCATCAAACGTGTTGCACTTACTGACCAGCAGAAAGTGCAAGAACTTTTCAGGGATGTGCATCTGGGTGATCGCAAGCCGACGCAACTGCTTCGTCAGATGAAGCAGCTGATTGCTGACTTCAACATTGATGAAGCATTTCTCAAGCAACTGTGGTTACAGAGGTTACCACAGTCGGTTCAAGGGATCCTCGCACCCTTCCATAAGTGTCCCTTAATAGAGCTGGCGGAAGCGGCTGACAGAGCTGTGGATGCTACGAAACCCAACACTAGTATCTCAGCTGCACTGTCTACTGCCACGGATTCGTCAAAAACCACATCCTCCCTCGGCTGTGAGCCAACAAGTTTCGATGTTATAGCTCACATCTCGAAATTGTATGAGGAGTTGTGCAGCATCAGGAACGAAATGCGGTCTGGTAGTTCTTCCAACGGTCGCACGTCTCGCTCGCGCAACAGGTCTGCCTCCCGTACCGGTAGCAGACGTTCCAAATCGCGACAATCCCAACCCAGGTTGTGCTGGTACCATAAACGTTATGGTGCCAATGCCAAAAGGTGCACTCGACCTTGCACCTTCGAGGCTAACCAGGCGGGAAACGTGTGAGCCAGCACGTGACGGCGACTAACGTCGCTGGCGAGCCACTTCCATGTCGCCTCTTCTTCGTCACTGATCGACATTCTGGGATACGCTTCCTAGTTGACACTGGGGCAGAAGCTAGCGTCATCCCACCTACGAAGGAAGAGCGTCTGCGGCCAATGTCTCTGCAACTTCGTGCCGCCAACGGTTCGCCCATCACAACCTATGGTCGGAGATTCCTCGATCTCAACCTTGGATTGCGTCGTCCCTTTCGTTGGGTTTTCATAGTGGCAGATGTGACCACCGGCATTATTGGTATGGATCTCTTGCAGCACTATCAGCTGCTGGTAGATGCTGGCAAGCATAAGTTGATAGATTCTACCACAACACTCTCTGTTTCCGGTATAGTCACAAAGACGCCGCCCCTCAGTCCCGTGTACTGCACGACGGACGCTTCTAGTCCCTACGCGTCTATCATTCAGTCCTTTCCGGATGTCTTTAAGCCAAGTCGTTGTGTCCCTTGTGTGACTTCGAACGTTTCTCATCACATAACGACGACTGGCCCGCCAGTGTTTGCGAAACCACGGCGATTATCCCCGGAGAAACTGCGTGCTGTAAAAGCCGAGTTCGAACACATGCTTGAAATGGGAATAATCAGACCATCCAACAGTCCATGGTCTTCACCCTTGCATGTGGTACCCAAGAACAATGGCATGGACTGGAGGCCTTGTGGTGACTACCGAAGGCTCAACGCTAAAACGATTCCAGATCGTTACCCAGTCCCTCACATTCACGACTTGACTGCATCTTTAAAAGGCTCGGTTATCTTCAGTAAGCTTGACTTGACGCGTGCATATCATCAGATCCCGGTTCATCCTGATGATGTTCCCAAGACAGCCGTCATTACACCGTTTGGTCTTTTTGAGTTCCTCCGTATGCCTTTTGGTCTTCGCAATGCAGCACAAACCTTCCAACGTTTTATTCACGATGTTTTACGTGGACTCGACTTCGCCTATGCCTACCTAGACGATATACTAATCGCTAGTCCAGACGAAGACACTCATTTTAACCACTTGAAACAGGTTTTCGCCAGACTGTCAGAGCATTCGATGACAGTCAACCTGGCCAAATGCCAGATTGGCGTTCGTTCACTAAAATTTTTGGGACACGTTATCGACGAGCAAGGCATTCGCCCACTACCTGAAAAGGTACAGGCGATCCAAGACTTCCCAGTCCCAGCGTCACTTAAAGCTCTGCGTGTGTTTCTGGGTATGGTGAGCTATTATCGTCGCTTCGTTCCCCAATGTGTGCACATTTTGACTGCACTGACCGACCTGCTGAAAAGTAAGGTAAAACTTTCAGCTTGACTCCGGAGGCACTAGAAGCATTTCGCAAGATCAAAACCGCAATAGCAGACGCCACGATGCTGGTGCATCAAGACGTAAACCTACCTCTTAGCATTGCGGTTGACGCCTCTAACACGGCCATTGGAGCTGTGTTGCAACAACTTTCGGATCACACTTGGATCCCAGTTGCATTCTTTTCCCGGAAGTTATCCACCTGCGAAATGCGGTACAGCACTTTGGCAGGGAACTGCTCGCCATATATGCCTCAGTGAAACATTTTCGTCATTTTGTGGAAGGTCGTGACTTCATCATCTTTACCGACCATAAACCTCTGACGTATGCCTTACACACCACTACTGACAGATATTCACCGCGTGAATTACGTCACCTAGATTATATTTCGCAATTCACGTCGGACATCCGTCATATTTCTGGTGCGAATAACCCTGTCGCGGACGCACTGTCTCGCGTTTGCACCACTACTTTGCCTCGAGCAGTCGACTTACGGAAGATTGCCGAACTTCAGGATTCAGACGAGGAGATTGAAAAACTTCAACACTCATCCTCTCTGAAGATACAGCGTTTACCGCTCCTGAACAGTGAAGTGTCAATATTGTGCGACACCTCCACAGGCACACCCAGACCGGTTGTTCCTTTACCCTTGCGTAAGCATGTTTTTGATGCTTTGCACAATCTTTCACATCCTGGCATCCGCGCCACTGACAAACTCATATCTGCTAGGTTTGTTTGGCCTGGTATTAACCGTGATGTTCGAAACTGGACACGGTCATGTATTCAGTGCCAACGTTCCAAGGTGAATCGTCACAACATCCCACCACTTGGAACTTTCGCCAAACCGGACTCACGATTCGCTCATGTCCACTTAGACATTGTCGGCCCACTTCCACCCTCCGATGGATATAGTTACCTACTGACATGTGTCGATAGGTTTACTCGCTGGCCGTTAGCCATCCCATTGTCTAACATTACTGCCGAAACAGTAAGTCGGGTTCGTCGAAGGATGGGTTTCACAGTTTGGATGCCCTTCCACCGTGACAACCGACAGAGGCCAACAGTTCGAATCCGCTACCTTCCAGAAGCTGATGAATCTGTTGGGATGCAAACGCATCCGCACTACCGCATATCATCCAGCTTCCAATGGTTTGGTGGAGCGATTCCACCGACACCTTAAGAGCGCACTAATGGCAGTCGACAATATGAAATGGACTGAGTCTCTGCCGTTGGTTCTTCTCAGCATCGTTCTACACTCAAGACGGATATACAGTGTACACCTGCTGAGTTAGTTTACGGTAGTAACTTACGTTTGCCGGGTGAGATGGTCGCTTCAGATTGTAGTGACCCAACTCCTACCGATATCCATGGCTATGCTCAAACTCTTAAGTTACACATGCGTCGCCTCCAACCCCATCCACACGGATACAGTGTAGACGGGTGCAGTTGGATAAAAGACTCCAAGATTGCACTCACGTCTTTGTGCGTTGTGACGGTGTACGTAAACCCTTACAGCCACCATACGACGGACCTTTCAAGGTTCTCAGTAGAAAGAAAAGTTTTTCGTCATTGACAGATCTGGACGGCAGGATTCTATAAGTGTCGATCGTTTGAAGGCAGCTTATATAGAGGACGACCCACCTTCCTCTACACCGACACAACT